AACTACCGAAGGATATCCCTGCGATCTACGCGAGTATTTTGGAGGAAATTGACTTCGCACTAAGAGAACAAGCCAAACGCATCCTAGAATGGGTCAATTCATCGAAACGGCCATTGAGCGTTGAAGAGCTGAAAACTGTAATCGCTCTAAAGGTTCAGCGGGAGCATACATCAATAGCCATAATGCAGGAACACGTTGAAAACAACCTGGACCACTTCTTTGGCTCGCTCTTCGGCCCTCTTCTCAAAATCGAACGCGATACCGTCCGTTTTGTGCATCAGTCGGTCAAAGACTTTCTCGGTAACCTTGAATTGATCAGAAAGTTTGATTCTCGTGAAGGAGCTGTTAGTGTTCGTACCGGTGTTATGGCATCCGAACAATATCCCGTTTCTGCGTTCCACAGTACATACAGGGAGGCCAATCTTCATCTTACAATCGATTGCCTCACTTTTCTTTCGTCTAAAGAGTTTGAGATGAGAGAGTCACAAGATGCCCTAGAATACCACTCCCGACTGAGTGAATATCCGTTTCTCGAGTATGCTGCAACAAGATGGCCGGAGCATGTCAAGGAGACTGATAGAAGGGGTGATCAGGAGTTAGTGGAAGCATCTCTTAGGCTTGCTCATTCAGATAGCAAAATGAACTCGGCATACCAGATATACCACGAGTATGAGGAACATGGCAAGTCAGGCGTGAGCAGAGCGTTGCAATTCCAACAGACTCCACCGCTACAGGTCTGTGCGTCTCTTGGGTTTACCGACTTTGTCAAAGCCCTGGTCGAAGATGGCGCCAGCACCAATGATCAAGGTGGAGTTCATGGTAGCGCCTTAATGGCTGCAATCTGGAGTCGTAGTGAAGCAGTAATTAAGCTGTTACTCAACGAACAAAATAAAAACATCAACACATCCGAGACCATGCTAGCGGAGGTGTCCGCCTGGTGTAAAACTACAGAACCTATGGAGTTACTTCTAAGTAGAGGGGTTAAAGTGACAGAAGCAGCAATGATCGCGGCAGCTAAGAATTGGCATGGACCAGAGGCTCTCAGATGCTTATTAGCAGCAGGCGGTCAACCGACAGAGCCAGTTTTATCAACAGCGGTAACATTCTATCAACGCAAGGAACCTCTAGATTTACTGCTGGACGAAGGCGGAAAGGTCACCCAAACAGTCGTTCTCGCAGCGATTGAGGGTTGGAAGCCTGATGAAACAAATAAAACCTTGCTATCTCGAGGCGATGTCGAAATCACGGAGGCAATGATAGTGGCTATTGTGGGGAAAGGTGCAGTCAACACGGAGCTGCTAGAGCTAATGCTGTGCAAAAACGGTACAATTCAAATAACGGATCAAATCATGGCAACCTCCGCACGAACATCAAAGGAAAGGGATGTTTTAAAATTCCTTCTCAGCAAAGGTGGCAAGGTCACAGAAGATGTTTTGGTAGCAGCAGCTGAGAACCACAACGGCCCACAGACGCTAAAATTCCTGTTATCGAAGGATCGAGAGATGCAAATGACAGAGTCGATGCTTTTGGCTGCTACAAGAAACACCCCCGCCAAAAAATACATGGACCCACTATTGCACCGCGGTGCAAAGGTGACCGAGGCGGTAATGATTGCGGCAGCACAAAGCTGGAGCGGAAGCAAAGAATTGCTAGAGATGCTACTGGACAAAGGCGGACAGGTGACAGGGGCAGTCCTATTAGCTGCAGCCCGTAACCGGGACGGTTTCGAAGCTCTGGAGTTTCTCCTAATAAGTAGAGGCACTAAAGTGATCATGAGCGAAACCATGATGTTGGACGCAGTGGGCGGCCCTAGCGCAAAGCAAACGATGGAATTGCTATTGAGTGTGGGTGGTCAAGTAAGCAAGGCGGTGATGGTGACAGCAACAAGAGGCCAATATGCGAGCAAAGAACTTCTTGAGTTACTATTAGACAAAGGCGGCGAGGTAACGGAGGAAGTGATGGTGGAAGCGGCAAGCAATCGATGGGGTAATTTCGACACCGATGTTCTAGACTTGCTGATCGGTCGAGGTGGTCAAGTCACAAAGCGAGTGATAGAGGCTGCAGGATGGAGCGCTTCGAAGAAATTTGTTGAGCACCTTTTGAGTATTGATGGTACCATCCCAATCGCGGAAGAGATGTTGGTCGAAGCTGCACGACACACAGAAGGCCTGGAGGTTTTGAAATTCCTCTTGACAAAGCCAGATCACAAAATTCCGATCACGGAAGCAATGCTTGTAGCCGCGGCGAAGAACAAGCATGCTACTAAATACTTGGTATTACTACTGAAAAGAGGCGGCGAGAGTATGATCACCGAAAATGTACTGGTGGCTGCGGCCGGTAACTGGAGCGGTAAAGGAGCATTAGAATTCTTGCTCAGCGTTGACGATACCGTTCTCATCACTGAACCCGTATTGGTAGCGGCAGCGGGTAACTCGAATGGTAGGCAGCTGCTGGAGTTTATATTTGTGATGGAGGAGCACAAAGTCACCGAGGCGATGCTGCTTGCGGCAGCGGGTAATATGTCAGATAGTGGGGCGCTCGAATATCTTCTAAGCCTTGACAATACTCTCCCGATCACCGAACCAATAATGGTCGCAGCGGTGCGGCATGGTCACGGAGGTGACTTTGTACGATCATTACTGAGCAGAGGGGGTCAGGTCACGGAGAAAGTATTGGTGACTGCAGCAGGGAATTGGGAAAACGGCAAAGAATATTTAGAAACTCTTTTGACAAGCAATGACAGTTCAAAATCTTCTCTTGTGACCGAAGCCGTCCTTTTGGCAGCAGCTGGAGATACCACAGGCAGAGATGCATTGCAATATCTTTTAGATATTGGTAGTATTACCCCAACCAACCCCGTCACCGAAGCATTGATGGTTGCTGCAGCAAATAACGGGGATGGCGATGCTTATCTGCAGCTTCTGATAAATCAAGGCGGTCAAGTCACCGAGGCCGTATTGCTGGCCGCAGCAGGAAGTTGGAAGGATGAAAAGGCGCTAGAGTTTCTTCTGAAGCAGAAGCTGGATTTTCCAATCACCAAAGAGATGCTGCTAGCGGCAGCAAAGAATACTCAAACCGGAAAGAGAGGACTGGAGTTACTCTGGGGCGCGGACGATACTATCCCGGTCACCGAAGAGCTGCTTGAAGTTGCTGCAAAAACATCGCACGAAGTGTTTACATTTGTCTTCAATAGAGCTCGGGATATCCGGATGACAGAAAAGATGCTAATGGAGGCGGCAGTAAGCTGGAGAGGCAGAGAGATCTTGGACTTGATGTTCAGTACCGTCAAAACTTTGCCGCCTATTACCGAAAATGTGATTGCAGCAGCGGCAGGGAATTCTGGGTTTAGTAATCCTCCTCTCGAATTTCTATTTAATCAGACAGATAAACCGCCAGCGATCACTGAGAAGGTTCTGATAACAGCGGCAAACAACATTCACGGCGACCGGTCGTTGAAGTTTCTCTACTCTGGTCATGGTGAGATAATCCCTCCCACCGAAGCAACCCTTGTGTCAGCAGCATGGAATCCAAAGGGCACTCAGAATCTAGAGTTTCTGTTAGAAAAAGGCGGGGAGATCAATGAGACCTTGATGCTCGCGGCGGCACTGAACCCAGGAGAGTCTACGCCAACAAACCTAGACTTTTTGTTAGACAGAGGTGGAATAATCACGGAGAGAGTAATGCTTGCAGCAGCGTGGAACCCGAGCAATAAGAAAACAGTTAATCTAAAAGCCCTATTAGCTCGGGGTGGTCAGATCACGGAGCAGGTAATGATGGGGGCTGCGATGAACCCTGGCGGGAAACAGAACCTTGAGATCCTCCTCAGCAGAGGGGGCAGACTTACGGATCCTGTGTTTAAAGCTAGAGACGAAAGCCCAACCAGAGAGGAAGCCATAGACTTCCTGTTGCATAGTATCAGCCAAGCATCGGAAAAAACCCTTCTACGAGCAGCAAGTGGTAGAGCGAAGGGGGGACCGGAATTATTTGAACTGTATTATGAGGTTGAAGGTGGAGCCATTGCGGCAAAGATCCTAGAAGCCGCTGTAGAGAATGAGTCAATTGAGTCATATGCTCCACCAAGTCGTGCCCAAACAGCTTCGGAGTATGTGGATGCACTGTCGGAGATCCCTAGTACACAAGTCAAGGGGAAATCTACCCCCGGAGGTAAGGTAGCTCCCTTAGAGATTATATGATTTAAGTACTCGTGTACATGATGCGTATGCTTTGACATAGGCATAAAATACAATGCTAATAAATGGCGCATAGAAGACCCTCCTATCGAACTCATCACCGACCGACTTCAGGCGCAAAGGTTATACGATATCATCTTTTACCTCATGAAGGTTACCGATATAATCATTTATTGCCTTCTCATTTACGGCCTTTATTCGTTTGTACAACCGGCGGCCATGACACGATTTGATGTCGTACATCTTCTGAACAGCTGTTCTACGTGGGCTTGGAAAGTGCGCATGATGGATATCCCTGATGTGAAGGAGAAGCTTCGTCTCTGAAGCGTAACTTTGAATTTTTGATCCTGTTCAGACTGTACACTGATTTCTTGGTTTTATGATCATTTCTGTACATGTTCGCTTATTGTAAATATTTTTATTTTTTATTTTTTTCGTCATTTCCTTTTAATTAGAACGTTCTATTTCAACAGATGAAACTGCAACGAATTTGTTGGTTCGGATCCCACGATTCGGCTCAATATCAAGAGCATTGAAAGAAATCCTTGCCCTGGGTTGGCACTTGGTGATCCAACATAGCGAACCTACCAGCACAGGTCTCGCCATACCGACCTAGCCTGCTCATAATCACCAGTGACGCGGTCTATTGGCGGGTCAGGGCTCTCCCCCATGAGGTAGTCTATGAATTACGCTAAAATGAGACGTTTACAGATGTGTCTCTTAGAGACTTATCACATTAACTCGCAATGCCGCGGCCGTAGAGTACAATCCCGCAATAATTAACATGTCTGATACATATTGAAATAAGGTTTACTCAGCGCCCTCATCGTCTAGGCGTTCTAAAAGTAAATCAAGCTCCTCTTCAATCTCGTCCCCAGCTTCCTCCCGCTGCCTCCATATCTCCTCGGCCGCGTCCAGGGCTTTATCAAACCTCTTTAGGGTAATTTTCATTGATTTCTCCAGAAACAACGAAAGCCGTTTCGTCATTTGTTCCCAGTACTCAGTGGCTGCCAAGTGCTCGCCGGCGTCGAGGCTCTTGATGTAAAGTATAGCTTCCTGAGACATGCTATCCGTGATCCCATGAATCTTGAGCTTCAATGCATCAATAGCGTGCTGCACCTTAGCCTCTCGCTCCTGGATACTTGGGAGTGAGCCAATCGCTTCCCATACCGGGTCCAAGTACTCTTGTATCGCGGATTGTTGTTGATAAACCGCTCTAGCGATGATCTGGTTGAGTGCGGTAACATTCTGGGGTTTGAGGTATGTGGGATCCTTGAGGGCGCCCTCGAGCCCGCCGAGTATGCGCAGGACAACAACCGGGGTAGCCCAAGGAAAGAAATTCTGGAATCCGACTTCGAGTCGAGTTGTGTTTGAGGGGTGCTGGGACTCGGACAGAGCTGATTTCCCAGCCAAGATTATTTTCTCAAAGGGGTCCGACATGATTGAACTTGGGTTATCAAGGGGAACTCCGCGGGAAACTAGAGATGGCGAGGAATGTTGGTGAGGAGAAGTATGATCATTCTTACAGTGAGCGTCGTAGCAGGATTATATTCCCCAGAGAGTTGCACGTGCAAAGCTCTTCCTTGCTCAGCTGAAATGTGATATGATATGCATATTGGACGCCTAACTGATCGACATGATGTGAAGTAGGGCGAGAATGCCAAGGATTGTTAGCTGGGCTTTGCATAAATACTTGACTCCGATGCTTAACTATCATTCATCCAACACCACGCGGAAGAAGCTTTAAAATTTATCCCCCAAACCACAATCTTCCAAAGTCTTCAGGCAATCACGTTTACCGCTCTACTTACCTGGTACGGGTCCCCTTGCCAATACTGCAGTTTTATACTTCATCCCTCTCCGTTCAAGGGTCTAATTACTTGGGTTGCAGCGCGATGTCTCTCTCGAGCGACTTTTGGAGTAAACGGCTAGAGAAAAAGCTGGAGTCATTGAACGCGCCACCCGCGGAAAGGCGCCCCCAAGCCCCTGCTGGATTGGAGGTTACTGAGGAAGATGCACCACCGGTGTATCTTGAATCTATTCCAGAGATGCCACCAGATTATCGCGAAATTTTTCTCGAGCTAGAGGGAGCACTGGTCACCGAGGGAGCACTGGCCGCCGGGGGAACACCCGCTGCGGAAGGAACACAGGCCGCTGAGGGAACACCGGACCCGGAAGAAACACCAGTGACCGAGGAAACATCAGCCACCGAGGGAGCACCGTCCGCTGGGGGGCCGCCGGCCGCCGGCGGGCCTCCTGAGTCCTTTCTACGTTTTTTGGTTCGCCTCGGAAAGAAAATTCTTAGTAGCGTCTGGGGCTCGATCCGTGATTTCTTATCCTTTATTGGAATATTGGCGAAGAAGGTTGAAGAGCAGCCTGACTCAGCTCCCTTCGACCTTGAAAAGGAGATTTTTGACATGAGTGAAAAGCAAAAGGCAAGAGATGCCGCGAGCATTGACGAGGCGGGCAAAGCGTTGAAGGAGAACCTTCAAAATCGGTCCCCGCAGGAGCAGCGCAGAGGATTGACAGCATGGGGGAAGATGCTGGGGTGGGTGGGGGATGCCTGGGATGCCTTCAAGGGATGGCTTCCGGATCTGTCTGTTGGGGCTCTGAAGAGGCGGGGAGAACAACTCTCCAGCGGCATCCGCGGTATGATGATAAAGGTTGGCGATGTTTTTCTCAAGGCATGGAGGTGGCTATCAGGTGGTGCTGGACCTTCGCTCTGAAGAAAACGAATTTGAATACATCATGTCGCAGAAGGTTTCATTCTTAAGAATTAAGTATCCACAATCTGTAGTGAGAATATACACACTCTAGGAGGTATGGAAATGCATCTGTAAATGCATCAAATTTTTGTATGGGTAAAGTCGTTAGTAAAGTCGTCGGGAAATGGAGATCGAAGTGAGTATCAAGGAAAGTCGTCGGGAAAGTCGTGGGGAAATAGACTTCGAGTTAGCGAGCGAGAATAGAAAGGGAATATCGTCGGGAAAGACGTAGGGAAATAGAGATCGGGTTGAATACTGGGAAAGATGAAGGGAAAGTCTTTTGGAAAAGTATCATGGGATGCATTTACAAACAACGTCCCGTGTTAATGCATCTTATTGTCTTTCCCCAAAACATTTGTATGGGTAATTTGTGTATCCATGCATTAACACACCTATTAGAGACAGTGTCAATTAGATTGATCTGGTAGCCAAGTAATTAAGCACACTCTATCCGAGAAGTAATACCCACCGTTGAGTAACTAGTGTTCTACAGAAGACAGAAGGCCTGTCATATAAAGCTTTGGTCCGTCTCAACTACAGCCATCATCTCTGTAAACCATCAAGTTTTCAAATGTGAATATTATCCGTATGACTGGTCAGAATATAAATAGTTCCGTAGATATATGTTTGGACTGATTAAGAAGCTTTGGCTCGGGGGAGTACTACTGATAGGACAGTCTAAGCGCCTGCAGGACGGGACCCCGAGCATTAGCAATCAGAGACAGCTGTGAATACACGAGTGGATTATCAAATCGACTAATCATTTATATACGAAGCGTCCAATATGCGCCAACATCAACACTTGAAAAAGCCCGAGGGAGAACTCTGTTAAATAACATCGTTAAACATCAAGTGACGGGCACAATATGTGAAGTCTCGGTTATTTCTCCCAAGATACGCGACAAGACAGTACAGAAGGCAACACAAAACAAAACAAAAAACACCGGTGTTGCGAAACTCCGAAACACACGAGTGATTGTCTAGTGTGACCTGAACATCCCATCAAAAACCTACTTCTTCTGATCGAGTGATTACATCAACGGTTATGAAGGAGCACCAATTGCCATAACTATAAGGCTGCATGCAATTAATGAAGAAAAAAAGAGCACACATAACCCTAACCCTATTTCAATCTACTACGCCGACAGGATAATTAACTTCCCCTAATTAAACTACATGTTTCGAGGCACAATACATGGCTCAAGTGTTAGCAATTACGAGAACCCCTCCGCAACATCTCAATTATCGTCTTGTTTTTCATTGTGCCCATTAGTACCTATAACACCGCTATAGTCTCATATTTCTGCTTTTCTTCCCTGGTAGTGGGGACGGGGCAAAGTATCTCAACAATTTATTTTCTTAGACGATACACGAGAAGACGGGACCTAGAGACGGGCAAGACAATTTTTCTCAATACAAACCACTTTAAGTACCACAGTAATTCGTCTCAGCGGACGATTACACAGACGTCGAAGTTACCTTCTACAGCGCGGATGAGGGAAGATTAGGGGATGGTTGAGTGGATGAGCGTCTTGCCCTAGTGCAGGTGGTAGACCGGCAGCGAGAACTAGTACCGCTTGTATCTCCACAGCTTAGACGCGAAAGTCATCTACCAAAAGAAAAAAGAGAGCAGCATTTGGTCAGCTATTCCCGTTTCAAAATACTCCACAACTTCATATAGATGCAATTCAGGATGATGCGCCAAGAGTTGAATAAAACAAAAAACAAAAACAAAAACGAAAAAACGATGCGCCAAGAGCCAGATCACACACTATCACTCGATTAGTTTACTGCCAAGACTGTTGGGGTTGTCTTCCGAGCCTAGGAGCAAAGTCCTAATACTCATAGGACTGTCAGTATATATGTCAATATGTACTCATATATACACTGTTCTAGGCACATTATTCTTGTATAAATAAGGGCTTTATATGCCCCCTGTATTATAGTCAAGCAAGTCCATTGGGAAAGTCTTTATTATTCTTCATTACTATTTATTTTCAACAAAGACAGGTGAGGTTACCTACGTACAGTATCTGGTAAAACTATTGCGAAAGTGGGTTCTCCGTGACCCGATAGTCCTATTGGCCCTTAAAAGGTTTTTTGCTGCGAGCACAGACCAACAAATCCACTCTTTTAGCTCTGACTTTTGCAATAATTCTACCGGATACTGTATATATGTGTCGATCGACTGGTTATTCTAGTGAGCGCATGCATCTGAAATGATTACATGTATCGGTGTGGTGGGAGGTCTCTAGGTGGAGCAGCCTCTCGTGTTGGGATGTTCTATGTACAAGTACTGAGCAAGGCTGAACACTGGAAGAAGAAGACATGGAAAAGCCTCTTGGTGAAAGTCGCCGAATCTGGCAGCAAAGGCTAGCTCAGGACTAGACACACATATAGCGGATAGCCGATCTACACTTTTGGGTGATTCGTAAAGCCCCCAGGCCATGACCACACGCCGCGCCCCGCACATCACCCCCGCAGCACAATTAAGCCTTAGGACTCCACCCCTGCCTAACCCAACTCCTACGCGCCCCCGCCCCCGCCCCCGCCCCCGCGTCCCTTCCTCTTCTTCCCCGCCCCCTCACCCCCGCCACCCCCCCACCCCACCGCACTCCCCCTATGCACCGAACCCTCCAAATGATCCTTCAACCGATGCTCCGTCTCAAAGCTCCTCTCACACAACGGACACGCCCTCGCCTCCCTCTTGCCCTTCCCCGCGCCGGCCCGCTTCGCAATCTCATGCACCTCCAGCGTTCCCGACTTCCCGAACGGCAGCAGCTCGACCGGGTAGAAGACCTTCTGCTTCTGCGGCCGTGCCGGGTACTTCTTGGATGGTGGGCGCGGGCCTTTGTCTGCGCGGCGGACGTAGCCTTTCTTTTTTGGCTGTGGGGCGGGGGTCGGGGGTTGTGGCTGCGGCTGTGGCTGTGGCTGCGGCTGGTGCTGGAATGGCCCGGCGGCGAAGGCGGAAAAGGTGGCAGGTGTTTGCGGGGCGCGGAGCGTGGGCATGGTGAACGGCGCGGAGCGTGTGGGGAGGGGGAAGCTGCTGGTAGAGGTAGTAGACGTTGCGGTGGTGTGACTCGGGAGCGTGAAGTGGCCTGTATATGTACTGTACGTTCCGGGTCGGTAGGGGTAGAGCTGGTTAGTATATTGCGGGGAGGCAATCGAGGCATTAGAGGATGCCGAGGGGGCCCGAGTCTCGTATCCGTACGCGGGTGGGCCACCGGGTTGTTGTGGTTGGTAGGACCGTCTCATTCCCGGTCGGAATATTGTGCCGTATGATCGGCTGTGGTTTGTTGCCTCCCGGGAGCTCGTGTCTGCGGGCGCTGGTCTGGGAGGAGGAGGAGGAGGAGGAGGAGGCTCGTTCGAGGGCCGGTGTTCTAAAGGAACGCCCTTGTTGCTTTGGTGCGCTTCGGCTTTCGGATGATCCCCCGAGTCCGCCGCGGTTTCCCCTTCATCGCTGCTGTGTGTGTCTTTACTTGGGCTTTGGCTTTGCCGCTGGTAGCTGGCCTCGTCGTCATCCTCATCCTCATCATCTGCCGACCGTTAGAAGCTCGGTAGTGGTTTCCTGGGTTCTCGAAGGGTATATACCTGTATCCGACGCATCTAGTCCATCAGAGCTGGAGTCGCCTGCAAACTCCAGGCCTCCAAGGTGTGCAAGCACCGCCGAGAAGATGTCGCTGTCGTTGTCGATTGATGAGCCCGCATATTCAGCGTGGCTTGTCGACATGTTGTGCAAAGATGCCGGGGGACGTGAAGCCATGCAGTATGTAAATACCTATGTGGAGTGCGGAATAATATTGTATTGGCCGGTCGATACATATACATTGGCGGCCTGAAACTCGGCGCTTACTTAACCGCGCAGGGTGGGCTAGGGTTCGTCCTAATTGAAGCGTCAGGGAATATCACTCGCACGGGGAATTAAGCTATCTCTTTTATTTTTTTATTTTTCCCTTTTCCTCGCGGAATAAAACCGGGGTTTTCTGGCCCATATCCTGGCACGTAACATCAAAATAAAATTTACTTGTGAGAGCAGAACTGCAATCGAAATGGGGGAATTAGAACTACATCAAGTGATAAGCCCGAGAAGAGACGAGACGAGAGTTCACTAGGTCTCGTCTCGTCCTGTATTATTTAGACTGAGTCTTGAAATCTCGAGACAATGGTCTAGTCTCGTCAATGTCTCAGACTTTTCGTCATGCGACCATGGGAAAGCATTGAGATTATGCTAATCAATGCAAATGAAGATCAAACCTTTTTTAATTTCTCTCATTTTCATTTTTTTCATTTTCATTGATTTTTGGGCCGAGGTTGGAGAATTTGTTTAGGTGAGGGAAAAAGAGTCAGGAAGGTCTCGAGCCTTATCTCGAGACCTCCGGACCTGGACTTGTCTTGTTTGCTAAAGATCTCGAGACTCGAGACAACTTGTTTTGCGCCCAACACTAGTTATGGTTGTTTATACCGGAAGATCAAAGCCTCCGGGGGTCAATTTATCTATTGAAGAAAGTTCGAGGAATTGTAGCCATACAGCAATTCCTTTCGGCTATTTACATCACGAATACAGATTCTCAGCTTTAAATTGACATTTACCATAAGTTAAACTCTACGGCAAAGCTAAATAGCTTTCACGGTAACCATACTTATTCCCACTCCATGTTATATATCTAGAAGCTAAACTACACTACTTTCTCGTAATCCTCCACATTCATTAGCTTCAGCAGCTTCTGACAATTGCGACACGGAGGTACCATAACCTCTTCCACCTTCTCAAGCGTGATTGATCGTTTCCACTGGACCGGCCGGTTACCCTCCCACTTTACTGCCGTGCCCCACACCGTTTCCGACTTGGAATCAAGTTCCCTACAAACATATCAGCTATGATCCGCCGCTACCCGAGACCAAACCAGGCAACAAACCTCAAAAGACTAGCAAAGGGCAAGCTCTCCGCACAATTTCCCCAATTCTGCCCGCCCAGAGATTTCGTGAGGGGTGCCACCATCTTCGTATCTAACCCTAGAAGCTTTGACATTTCTATCCACCGAGCTCCGGCAAGTTTGGATTTTAATCCTGGATCCCAGTATCTATCATCGGGTTTGAACCTGCCGAGGCTAGCTCCTAGGAGCCATTGAATCTTGTCCCCGCTTTTCAGCGTGACAATGCACATCACCTTCGGGCACGCGTTTTGGTTGGGGTGCAGGAAGTAGAGAAATTGCGCGAATTTGCCTAGTAGAGGCAGGAAAAACAACTCTGGTGTGAGTGCAACGCCTTCCGGAGGGTCGGCGATGGAAAATATATACGCAATAGCGTCCATGGCGGTAAACAGTTTGGTATCAGTGTTATGGAATTGGACCTCGAGGTAATAAATTGCAGTAATCTCCCCAGACCCTGCTCCCATTTTGATCTTTTTGAAATGAGGAAGTGCTTGGAATGGGACAAACTCCGATATTGCCCTTCTTTCCTGGCGGTTCCTGAGGTTCGCGGTTAGCCACCATACTTTAGGGAACACGTGGAGAAACCATACTTCGACGCGACCCAACCATCCACGAGCATATCCACGGTTCTCATACTAGGGAGAGACAGTCAGCTTACAGGCTCAGAAGAACGACAGGAAATATGTGCAATACGTCATAGAGGGAAAGAAATTTGCTTGGATTCTCTTCAAGTCATTATGATATTGCTCGGGAATTCCATATCCTCCCGGGTCCTGAAACAGGCCGGCAAGAAACCTGCATGGCTGTTTTCCCGAATAATCAGCAGGAGAACGTGAGAGCGTTACATCCTACATACCATCTCCCACGAGGGCGCCTGGCCATCTACGAAGAGAAGCGACTCATGCGGGAGTTTCCCGTTAAAGTACCCAGTGCAATCAAAGGACATAGTAGCTATTGGAGATGTGTTCGGGGAAGGTAGAGTTTGAAAGAGAGGAGTAAAGGATCACGTATAGGGAGGTAGGAAATGAAACTAGTAAACAAAGGGTATTATTATTATTATTCGCGGTCGATATTAATTGGCGGCCTGAAAATCAGTGCTTACTTCACAGCGCAGGGGTGGGTTAGGGCCGCGGCGTCATAGTATATCACTCGAACCGAAATTAAGCTATCTCTTGTCTTTTTTCTTTTTCCCTTCTCTTCGCGGCGTGAAAACGGGGATTTCTAATCCATATCCTGGCACGTAAGACATAAAGTATTTGTGAGTAGAATTGCGATCGAAATGGGGAACTAGAACTGCCTTATCAAAAGTTTACCTAGAAAATCAATGGTTCAACATGTACACACACTTTTGCCAGAGGCTTTCATGGGCCGGCCCAAGTGGATGCCAACCCATTGCAAAGCCTGATCCTGCACGACCTGGTAGCCGCCACCTGCGTTCAGAACATGTATCTAGTACCGAAAATATAATGGCCGAAAGTGCCCACATTACCCGCAGACACCTTCTATTCATTTATATCTCCAAGTGTCTTTCAGGCGGTTAGGATGCTTCACATTGCTGGCCATTAGCAAATCGGGGGGGCCGTTAGCTAGTACGATGAGGGTGCGGGACGCCTACCTTACCGTCGAAACGCATACAATTTTGAACCTTATTACAAGCGGGAACCCAAAAGTGAGTGGACAAAAGGCTCGGCGCTCTTCGCTGATGACCTCGAGGCGAATTAACCCACAATGAGCTGTAGAATAGATAAATTGAAAAGTAGGAAAGAAAATAGAGTTATTCTAAATACATTTACCATCAAGTATGGCCCCCATGTGCTCTTATAACCTGCAATATGCGCAAGGGCATAGAATCAATCAATCTATCTATCATCTTTTGTCCCACTCCTCCTGTGCAGCCTTAATCAATTCCGCCTGGTTATGGGGGTGCCTCTGAACGTCCCTCATGCGCAACCTGAGTTTTCTTTTGAGTGATCTCCAAACATTCTCAATGGGATTGAGGTCAGGGCTGTAGCTAACCCAGTCACTGGCACCTACAACAATGCCGGCCTGCAACTTCCAGGCCCTACTATGACCAGATCTGCAGAAGAATATACCCTAGATGCGTCCTCAACTAAAGAATAGCCATTCTCGGCGCCTCCTGCCTCTCTATACATAAGTAAAAAACCCGTTGCCAATACTTTATCACAATACTGTACTGAATTCATGCCACCCCTATCATTTCTCTTGATATACTCATATGGCCCCCTCTTCCGTACATAGACAAGAGTGGACCGCCTCTGATATCCTATAGCTCCCTAGAACATGGCTGAAGTCCGTTCACCTGGAAAAGATGGCTGCAAGTATCGGTTTTCTAGCTCTGTCCCCGGTTTCCGCCATACTTTGAATTATGACCCTCCAACACCAGCCACCACCTTGCATTCATCTGCAAAAAACCTCATTCTCCAATCTGCCCTTGTCCAGTGCCTAAGCTCTCGAGCTCAGAAAAGACGTTTACATTTTGTCTCTCTGCTGAGGAACGGTTTTTTTCGTGGTACCCGGAGGTGGTAGTCAAATCCGCGTAGCGCTTTGGCGACTGTTTTAGGTGCGCAGTTTAGATGAGAATCTGCAGTAATTTCTCCAAGTGTTACATAAGGATTATTGTTGGTGATCCGGTCTAAGCATTTCATAACTTGTTCATCGATTATTCGTGGTCTACCGGGTCTGGGGGCTTTGTTTAAGGACCCAGTCTCCTTACATCGCTTAATGATTTTGGACACATCGGACTAGAGCGGCTAAAGGATCTACGAGCTCTACCAATATGATTGTACCGCCTTCCCCGTTGAACAAAAGAAGAAGGGAGACTACTGAAGCCCAGCGGGCGAAGATCAATACTCTCCACGAAGTCGGTTTGACCTACAACGAGATTGAGGGACGAACAGGAATGAAGAGAAGTACCTGTTGAAACATAGTTAAGAGAGATAAAAATAAATGGAAACCAGGAAGCCTTACCCCATATACTGCTAGCGCACCTCGGTCAGGCAGGCCTGAGAAATTGAATAAGCGAGAGAAGAGACATCTCATATTCTTAGCTAAATGAAGTCAGCATATGCACCTCGACGTCCTTACCAAAAGCATCACCAAAAAGGTTTCCATGAAGACCGTCCGCAAATATCTGAAACAATGAGGCCTGCAGAAGAGATGTGCAAAACGGAAGCTATTTCTCACAAAATTATATAAGCTCAAGCGTATCTTGTCGTGCAAGGAACGCAGAGATTGAACCATGGAGGAGTGGGGTGAAGTAATTTGGACTGATGAATCACGGTTTGAAGTGGTGTTTCATGGCGGTACTTGTTGGGTTTACCCCTCTGTAGATTAGGTCGATAGTGAAGAGAGTCTCCTACCTTCGTTCAAGAGTGGGAGAACGTCAACAATGATTTGGGGAAGTATTCAGCTAGGAAATAAAGAGCCTATGGTAATCCTCCCAAATGGTGAGTAAAAAGGTATATACTGAACAGATATATATCATTAGTAGATGATTACTACCTCAAGTTAGGTAAAGACTATCTGGAATTGGTTATTGAGCCCGCTCTCAAACCATTTTATCAAAGCCGGTACTGTACCACCCACGAGGCAATAGTAATGGAGGATGGAGCACCACCCCACAAGTCAAAACTTGCATCAGCGGCCAGAAACAAATACAATATCCAGAAAATGCCCTGGCCGGCACAATCACCAGACCTCAACCCCATTGAAAACCTCTGTCGGATCATGAAGTCTCGTATCAACAAAAGACAACCAAGAGCCTGAGTGACAGCACATGAAGGTATTAGTAAGGCTTTGCAGGAATAGTGGGACCGGTTTGTAGCTGAAGACTTCTAGAAATTGATAGAAAGTATGCCCAAAAGGGTTAAGATGTGTCTTAGGAACAGAGGAGGGTCAATTCCGTACTGATACTGTTTTTTTTGTGGTTTTCTTGAAGTAATGCTTGGCGCCGAAACCCGATGATCCTGCTCTGTAGATACTATTACTCTTATTGTAATTTTCCATCATCTCTTACCTTATATATGTTATTACCTATATTCTACTCGTCATTTTATACTATTATGAATGGATTTAGTTGACTTCTTATGATTCTATCAATATAATAAAGACATCTCGCAGTGTAGTCATTACCCCCTTAACTACGGGGCGAACTCCAAAAAGTGGTCTCTGAGTTCCCAAACTCTTCCCCCTCCAAACACTCAATTTTGAAGAACCCGAACTCATAATCAATTTGTCGGTTTCCCCAATCATTTCCGTTCATTTTCTATAATTCTGTGCGTTGAAGGCCTCTCCTTCGGATTCAGATGAGGCGTCCAAATCGAGACATGTCACTGATACGTCCCACAACTTATTACCTATCAGTGTACATCCTTCGGTATATAATATAAGTATCTCAATCCGCTTTAAATCTGTTATCTCCCTCCTCTTTCCGATGCTGTCTTTGGGCATTTTTGTTTAGACGTTGAGGTGGGTTGTTTCTGGCAGTGGTTGCACCTGTTACGAGATTATCCACTCACTTCTGGGTGCCCGCTTGTACATATAGAGAGTTTTGGTTAAGAATGTTAATATATTATTTACCAAAAGAGGGTAAATTATACGTTTATTTGGATTAGTAATATTAGCTGCTATTGCATTTCCCAAAATTGTTAGGGTCAATTTGATGCTTTTAATTCGATAATGCTGTGCTTTAGTTTAGGGTTACCAGAAAAAACCAATTCTAATTCGTCAACGAGACGTAATCTCTGAGTTACGCATGATTCTTGATGAATCTTATTCATGGATAAGCAATATGCGTAGATTGAGGCTTATTTGGTGCTGTTATTGATGATTAGGTGTAGTTACCGGTACGCTTCAGCATCAAATGACCAATATTGGGCGTAAATTCTGAAATACCAATACTTCTATACACTTTGAATTATCGATTTTTCACAAGTAGTATTATGATGGTTACCATGAGGAGCATACAGTATTCATTTATTTATAAATGGTACAATGAAGCCGGGTCTGGCTAGCTCTGAAATCCCATGTTTTAGGCTTGTGTAGGTATGTATGGAGTGAGTAACTGCAAAGATGAGGAAATTATTTCGTATTGTGGTCGTGTTGGAGAGAACTGAAATATTATATCTGATTTGTTAATGGGAGTCAATTATAGGCGGTGTAACTCTCCTCGTCGAAAGCACTGGAGATGAATACATAATCATCGTTTCAAAGATCGCCCTACATATGCAATGTAACAATAAAGATTCGATTACAAGTAGTGATCTATGATCAACGCGAACCCACATTGCTCCTCCACCTGTCACCATTTCCAAGTCTAGGGGTCCATGAAGAACTCAGGAGTTTCAAACTAAGTTACTGACAGACAGTTTTAAACTGGTTAAAAACTGGTTTGAGGAAACCTGGGTGTCATGGTTATGAACTAATCACTGGTGTAAACCGAATTTTTGTATGGGCTAGGGTAATTCGAGGTGTAAAACTGGACCATGGACAGAAACTTGGGGTTGATTAGGGTAATCTTGGGGTAAATTTTGAGTGGACATCAGGTTAGTTCATGACACTGTTTTGACTCGAGCTCTGAGTTCGTTACGGGGCGCTAACCATTTCCAAACCCTCCCGCAATACATGGTCCGTGCACACTAGAGTAGTACTAGCGTGCGAGTCGGCCGCCAAGACACACTAATGCTATCCGGAAACTACCACAGCCCTAGCCCATCCCCGAATGTGGAGCAGTTAGTGCGATCTGGTAGCAGGAAAGATTCGATCTGTACTTGATTGGCTGATGATTACGTATGTCTATTGATGATGATTCCTCCGAGGGAAGAAGAGTCCTAGCTGCCCCTCTTATCCTAACTCGATCCTGCCACGATGTAACGGTCAAGACTTGTGTACACTACATGTAGTGTCATCTCTTTCCTGTACCCAACGTCACCTTAACTGCACACCCTCTCAATACCACACAGTACATGCTCCCGCTCAATACCTGTTCTACCATAAATCGAAAAGTACATACCATCAAAGAATAACCTCCCTTCAGGCCGCTTTTCACATCTACCATCTACCATCATGTCTAGCGATTCCAGCATGAGTCCCCCTCCACCCCCACCCCCCACACACTCCTCACACAAACGGTACACCCATCCGACCGGCACAATGCTTACATCCCCAGACCACATCCTCCACCAGCGACTGCGTTGACATGGAGCTAGCCGCAACTACGTAGACCACGCGCTTTGGAGAGAGGCTTGAGCGGTGTGTGTCTGTATGAACTACGCAATGTGAAGCTAGTGGTTTGCGAACATAGGTTTCTATCAGTAATATGGTATCTTGAAGACGAACAAAGGGATGGTTGTGTTTCTTGGCGGTTGTCTCCTACCCATGTAGTACTAGCTCTCGTGTGCGCGGATCATTTATCACAGCAGGGTTTGGAAACGCAGGTTTGGGCGGATCGTAGATCAGTGATCCGACTTTATTCTTGAATATTGAAGTGTACCTACAATTAAAAACATAATCAAGTACTCTACTCCTCTACTCGAGTCTTCTTGACATTTGTAAAGGGAACCACTATTGCACGCCATACAAATACACGCCAACTCCGCGGTTTGGTATAGTGTGTAGTAAGTATGTAGTCGTTACTTTTATGGGCACCGTTTTTCTTTGCCCTTCCCAGTCCAGCTTGCGCAATCCCAGGCTTTTCCAATCCCAGGCTTTTCCAATCGTAGGCGGTTCCTACCAAGCCCTAAGCGAGCTCACCTCTGCACTGCAGCGGCCCGATCCGCCCGGAGATCCCCTTATCTAGATAGCTTTATTCGGACTAGTTCCAAAGCCAGCTGATACCCGCATATACAATTGCAAACCAACGCTGCGTGGGATTAAGAAGCAGGGTTAGCAACGTTACCCCATGAGCATAGCCATTTGTTTCACTCCAGGCATACCTAGCGTCTTGTCGCATGTGAGGAAACCCCGTTTTTACTCTCTATTATTAGAATTAGCAATACAGAGGTGGGATCCTAACATGTCCAGAGCGCGTCGGATCTGAGGTCATTTGCTAGATTATGAAAATATCACATGTTGGCGACGACAAAAGACGACGTGCCACATTTAGCCAGGCGGAACAGGGCTTCGGCGCAAAAGACGAGGCTTCGGCTACCCCGATGAATGGGCGCTGCGCGCTTTTGGGGTCGAACTAGAGCTCGGCTTGAAGAAATCCACGAAGCTTGGTATCCCACGAGCTGACTCCTTGGGGTGCAATCTTGTAAAGCCTGTTCACACTGTTTAAAGGTGAGACACCTTCCCGGAGCCAGTGAAAGAATTGCCAATGGGTCATGAATTGGTGTGTACAGGTAAGTCAAGAATGGCCGATCGCGACACGGTCTAATTTTTAGTTTGGCTAAAGTGGTATGTACTACGTTATCCACGGCCCGTAAGTTAGTGGAACCCGGCGGTCGAAAAGTCCAACTTGGGTCACACCGCCACGTTCTACTTACCTACCTTTGGTATTGACTACCTCAATAAAGGATGTATGATAGTGCAGCGATAACCTCCATTTGCGATACGACATGATACGATAAGATATATTCAATTTACAATAAACATGTCGCAAGCAGAGCATGGTCTCTGTAAGCCTATGGCTGCTGAGTCTGCGAAGATCACCAAAGGAATTTAAGGCCACCTATCCCGAAAGCGGAAAACGTATAATTCACATCGCCAGGCGGGCAATAAAATCGAGGGCCATGACAACTTTGCACGCAGATAGCTCTGAGGAATAAGGCCGCGATCTGGCCCTCGAAGATACAGCCCCTCCTACATATTTCTCGTATATCAGTCGTTCCTGCAAACACCATGACTACCGCGAGAGATGGCCACCTACATCGAACCTTAATCACGCAATCTCACTCGCCAGTCGTGGCTGGCAGGGTTAGGGTTATGTTAAAACAAAGATTGATCAATCATTTCCGCCTAACGGAACCGGAACCTCCCCCGTTTGGTAGAGGAAGGGTGAGGTTACTGGGGCGCAAGCACCGGCGTGCATGGCAGAGAACTGCTGAAGTCATGCGCGCGGCGGTTGTGTAAGATGATGGCACTCGGATGTTTTGCTTTGGGTTTTCTGTTTTCTTTTTTTTTGCTTTTCTTTTCTTTCGTTCTGGGTCTTTTGTGGAGTAATATATTGAGACCTTGGGCTTTCGTTGGAGGTACATACCATGGAGGAAGATGGTGGTGGAGGTGCGGGTACTTTGTGGGTGTCGTGGAGGGACCAGGGTTTGAGCATGCCGCTAATATATCTTGGCACACAACTTATCACTCGGTTACCAGTAGCTTGTTGATCCCCCTCAATCCTGAAACCCCAAGCTCTCGCGAAGTACAAAAACGGAATATAAACCGAGATTAGTCAAAGTCCAACATTTAATAAGCTAGTCCCGAGGGTTTGAGCCACAAAGCCCAAAACATTACGCGACGAGGCGAGTGATAGACCATGATCCCGCTCAAAGCCGGCAACGCGTGACGAAGATATATGTTCTCAAGTCAGGCCTTTTTACACATCCAATCCGAGTTCTTGGCCATGGGTACCGCCGTTGTCGACTCTCCTCAGTTTCCAGAAGCTGGAAATTGAATTCTGAGCAGATCGGCGCACACGCCGTATGAAGTAACCAAGAGAGGTAGATTATAAGCACTTGTATTGATAATGAGAGGAGAGAGCAATTGTTCTCTCTCTCAGCTCATATACTATCTATCTACATGACACGTTCTCTAATGGCAACTATACTGCCCAAATTGCCCTACGCCTCCTTACGTATCCTCCCTAAGCCGAGGCCGCGCGGAAATCCACCCCCCTTTCTCTACACATACACTCCCCACTACAAAAGCCGCACTTAGAAGTAAGGTTACGGATAAGTAAGGTAAGAGACTTGATGGATTGGGGGGGTTGGAGGGGTTGGAAGGATTGGAAGGATGAAATTACCCTGTATAAATACGTCAGCGATCTGTAGAGAGATTCCGCTAGGTGGGGGCCATGGATTGCCGTTTATATTGGATTAATATAATATAGAAAATACCGCAATCGCCGAGTAAACGCAATGAAAAAGCTAGTGATGGGCTTAAGAGGGACGCTTTGTCCCTAGGTAAGAGAAGGAAAGACTACATATCTAGCCAAAAATAGAGAATATAAGGTAAGATAAGGCAAGACTAAAAGTGAGATAGTCTCAAGATCCTTGGATCACGCGAGTGATCGCCTATAATCTAGATTCCGAAACCCTAACCCTGGAGAATCATACCGGCGAACCGGGGTGAGTGGTAGGTTCCAGTCCCCACCGTAATTAATTGGCTTTGCACATTACATGGGTCAAGCATCGGGAATTAAGGGAATCCCCTCCGCACTTTACGGGAGGGGACGAAACAACCTCAAGTATCGTCTTTGCATCAGCCCATATCACTAAAAATTGCTAGTGGAATTGTCATCACGAGAAAAAGAGATCTATATATATATATAGAAAAGAGAGTATATGTTATGACCATTTAGTGACATGAAACAAAAGACCTTTACCACATCAAACGGTTCAGAATTTAGATCCTCGGCCGCTTAGGCGTTTCCTCTTCAGCATCCTGGCTCCATTTCCGTTTCACTCTGTGGCTTGTGGTTGCCGGATCCTGCTCAGTGACTGGGCAGGGTGAACGTGATGCCGGCTCATTGATCCCACTCATGTCCTCATCACTTTTGTTTACTTCCTCTAAGATATCCATGTCTTCTACACCTGTGAGGGTTGCGTCTAGTATATCCTCGTCCTCATCTTCGTCCTCGTCCTCGTCTCCCCTCCACTTGAAATCAGACTTCCATCGAGTTCCCTCCTCAAGGAACAGATTGTTGACCTTTCGGCTCTGAAACCATTTGTGTTGAACCTTGCGGTACCGCACAGCAATGATGTGGTCGCCGGGCATATCAAAGACACTCATTTGACCATAGGCAGCCTCGTTCGAAAATTGAACACCGGAGGTAAGGCTTATCAGAGTAGTTATACTTACCATCCCGCCGGTAGGTAGAGGATTGGCCAATACCTCTGCGCCCATCCCACCTTTGGTCCTCGAAACCAGCGTTCTGGACAGCTGGGCATCTTTGACGATAAGAAATCCGACAACAAGGTATATATTGCGGTTTTCGTTGATGGTCTCCTCGATCCACTCTTGTGTTTCAGGGTTTTTACATGCATCTTTGAACCACTTTCCGGAGTTCTTGAGCTCATAGGTCGTGGCTTCTGGGGTCATTAGGCTGGTGGCGGCGGTACTTCGTGTCTCGCGAAAGGAGGAGAGCGCATCACTGAGGTATGACCGAAACTTTGAGGTATTTGAAGAGTTTTGACTTGCGCGGAGGTTTTTGTGGGAAACAACGTCGAATTCATCGTCCGTTGGGCGAGATTCGAACGGGTTGTGCAAATCTTGTTGGGGATTTTTGGCGCTTTGAACGAGGCACCCTAACTGGAGAGATCCGAGAGACAAGAACTTTCCGAGAGGGTGGGATCTAAGGGACATTCGGAAGTGTAAGGCCGAGACGATAATGAAATCCTGAAAGGGTTTGTGATGGGAAGGAATAGGAAGGAGGCGTGAAAAGGTGGATGAGAGGGCTCACGCCAGAGTTACGGATCTCTCAATCTCTGCGCTGGCATTTCGAGTGCAAGCCATAACCGAGATCGATTTCCAACCAATCGTCTTGATTTGACTACCAAAGTGGGTTCTCATTTCTGATTGCGCGTTGCGACCGTGAGTATTGCTTAGCAATTTCTACTATTGCCATCTGGTAGTGAGCTTTGAGAATACATTCTCCGAACTTATTATGCTTCTAGCTTGGGTCGCTGGGAGAGTTCAGTATCAAATTCATGGACCGTAATGGTTGTGGGGCGGCCGCACTGGTGAAGAAAATGATCATCACCAGCTTTGTCCTGCGCACAGCAGCCTCTTAACCAAGTTTTTTTATTTTCTTATTTATTATGTATCCCTTTTAACTACTGCGTTTCGTTATATATTCAAAATACCCAAGTCTCCCCGATCAATTGCGTACGCAATTTTCAAATTCCTCGGTACCACGAGCCGCCATACCAGTTGCCAAGTTACTCGTGGTGAGCTGGCTTTGCTGACGAGTAAAATGCTGCAGAGGGGAATTGCGGGTCTCCGAGCAGAGCTCCTGAACGCGAAGGATCTAAAGACAACTCATACTGGCACTACCAACATTCACTCACTCGCTGTCAAACATTACACAAAACAAGCAGGCAAAACGGGACGAAATAAAAGAAAACGGGAGAACGTCGCTCGGGGTATTGTATTGATCAACACCGTATGGCACCTCCAGCAAAAAGTCTGAAACAATAACCGAAAACTAACTCCGCTCCCAAGAGCTATTATGGAAACGGTGACGGAGAGCGGCGAATCGTCCCAGAATTCAAAAGTTACACCAAGCCCCCAGGAGACCGAACAGAATGCTCAGATCTTGCCTGGAACGCTTCTGGCAGGGGATGTGGTCGGCTCCATTGACGATCCCATCGAGAAAACTGAAGAGATGGCTGTGACTATCAAGTCCGCGTGGATGAACCTTGAGGGGGTAGTGACGATGCTTCAGGAGATTAAGGAGACAACACAGGATCCTCTGGACCTGCCTGGAACGCGTCAGGCCACGGATGAGACCGGCTCCATTGATGATTCCATAGAACAGGCGAGAGGGATTGCTGCCACCACTAAGTCTGTGTGGATGAATCTTGAGGGAGTAGCAATAACGCTCCGGGAGACCAAGTCAGCTGGGCTTGTCACTGTCAACGATACCAATGGGGATCCCCAAGCATGGGCAGCGAGGAGCAGAGATCTTGTCAAAGAGTTAACCCCCGCATTGACAACGATGAGCGACTTCATAAGCTTGATCTACGCGCGATATGGGCGGGGAGAAGATCTCGAGCAGGCTATTAAGATTACCGAACTGTTACTGGAGGTAACCCCAATCGGTACGCCCAGCCGCGTATCCGTGCTGAGCAGCCTGAGCACGTTGTTTGGACATAGATACGACAGGTTACGGGAGCCAGAGGATCTTGGAAAACTCATCAAGTACGCCGAAGACACCTTGGATGAGGCTGCGGAAGATTCTGTCCATACACGAATCTTTTCAAGCAAGCTCAGCAATAAACTTTTTGCTAGGTACGCGCGCTTCGGTAACTTGGAAGACCTTACAAAAGCCATCGACCGAGCAGAAAGGGCACTACCAGTAACGAACGCATTTGACCTAAAAACGTTGAATAACTTGAGCAATTACTTTGCGGCTCGCTTCGAGCGACTAGGGGCCGTAGAGGATCTCGAAAGTGCCATCTGTCGAGCTGAATTGGGACTCACGATAGCCGCCAAAGGCAGCAGTGTTCGATTATTTCTACTGAGTAGCATGAGTGTGTACCTACATACAAGATACGAGCGATTTGGAAGCTTGGATGACCTTGAGAAATCTATTCATCAAAGCCAAGAGGTAGTAACAGCAACCCTAACCAACGATCCAAACAGGGCAAGCAGGCTGAGCAGCCTCAGCAACCACCTTTCTAGCAGGTACGAGCGCCTGGGAAACCTGGAGGACATTGAGAACGCAATCGATACAGGACAACAGGCGGTAGCAGCAACCCCGGACGGCCATCCGGACCTAGCAAGCATGCTCAACAGTCTCAGCATCCAGTTTTTCCGCAGATATGAGCGACTGGGAGCCTTGGAAGACCTTGATAAGGCAATCGATCGAGCCCAGGGGGCGGTAGCAGCGGCCCCAATCGATCACCCTGACCGGGCAGAAAATCTGAACAGCCTCAGCTGCTTCCTTTCTAGCAGACATGAGCGGCTTGGAACCTTAGAGGCCCTTGAGAAAGCAATTGATGGATCTCATGAGGCAGTGGTAGCAACACCGATCAATCACCCTAGTCGGCCACACAGACTCATGAACCTCAGTTGCCACCTCTCCAGAAGGTACGAGCGCCTGGGAAACCTGGAGGACCTTGAGAAATCAATCGATCAAGCACAACAGGCGATAGCAGCAACCCCAGATGGCCACCCGAACCTAGCATTCATGCTTAGTAGGCTCAGCGGCGCACTTTATAGCAGGTACGAACGCCTGGGAAACTGGGAGGATCTTGAGAAATCAACCAATCAAGCGCAGCAGGCGGTAGCAGCAACTCCAGATGGCCACCCGGACCTAGCAATCCCGCTTACCAGGCTCAGCAGCTCTCTTTATAGCAGGTACGAGCGGCTAGAAACCTTAAGGGACCTTGATAAAGCAATTGAGTTAGCTCGTGAGGTGGTAGCAGCAACTCCAGATGGCCACCCTGACCGGTTGCAGAGACTGAACAACCTCAACATCTATGTTTCTAGGAGGTACAAGCGAGTAGGAACGTTTGAAGGTTTTGGAGAAGCGATCGATGGACCCCAGAAGGCGGTAGCAGTCATCCCAGATGATCACCCTGCCCGAGCAACTATCCTCAGTAGCCTAAGCGATTTGATTTATATCAGGCACGAGCGGGAGGGCACAGTGGAAGATCTCGATAAAGCAATTGAGCTAGCCCATGAGTCTCTATCCGTAACCCCAGCCAACCACCCTGATAGGTCACTCAGACTGAACTATCTCAGCATCAGGCTTTTCCGAAGGTTCAAAGAACTGGGAACATCAGAAGATCTCGACGCCGCAATCGACCGGTCCCAGGAGGCTGTTGCATCAACTCCTGCAGAGCACCCCTGGAAGGGAACCATGTTGTTTGCCCTTGGCGCTTTATTCATTGCTAGATACATCAGAACGGATAACCTTGAGGATCTGGAGTCCTCTCTGAGTGCCAATCAAGGCTCTTGGAACCGTAAAAACGCACCCCCAAGCCAAAGAATCGACGCAGCACACAGTGCTGCCCTCATCCTTTCTTATCAAAACCGGTGGCATGAAGCGAATTCTATTCTGGAGGAAGCTGTCCAACTTCTCCCGCAAGTAAGCTTACGATCGATAAGCCGAGACGACCAGCAGTTTCAACTATCTAGATTCTCTCAACTCGCCACTGATACTCTATTCGCAGGTCTTCAAGCAGGAAAGGGTGTACATCACTGCCTGAAGTTACTCGAACTTTCTCGCGGAATTATTCTCGCCCTCGTTATGGATTGCAGGAGCGACGTGTCAGACCTTCGGGTGGAATATCCGGCCCTTTTTGAGAGATTCACCAGTCTTCGCAGTGAGGTTGACGTTCCGTTTGAATTGAACAAACTTGGACCTCCTAGTGAACTGGAATGGAAGCGTCGTGTGCAAGCGGTGAGTGAACTAGACGAGACTTTGAATGCTATCCGAGGATTACCTGGCTTTGAAGGCTTTCAGCTTCCACCTGAGGCAGAGGACCTCATGGCGATGGCCCGGCAAGGTCCAATCGTTATTCCCTATAGCTCGAAGTTTGGGAGTGGTGCAATAATTATTTCAAAGTCTACCATCAAATCATTACCACTACCAGATTTAGAATATGAGGAGATCATGGAGCGCATGAGACAGTTACGTGAAGACCTCTTTCGTGGCAGCCGTTCCACGTACCCGGCAAGGAACCAGCAACTGCTAGACATCCTTCTCTGGTTGTGGGATACTATGGTGGGGCCAGTTCTCGAAGAATTGGAGTTTCGCCCCTGTTTAGACGAGACCAGCCTCCCCCGGATTTGGTGGATTGGTGTAGGTGCCCTAGCCACATTACCTTTCCATGCGGCTGGTGATCATTCACCTGGTTCCACACACAACACGTTTAGTCGAGCCATTTCATCGTACATTCCAACCATCAAAGCGCTCTCATACGTTCGTGAGGGCAAATTGGAGCTATTAGGTCGACAGGACTCCAAACTACTCCTAGTTACGATGCCTACAACCCCTAACAAACCCCGTCTAACCAAGGTTGCGGGTGAGGCTAGCAAAATCGCCAGCGTGGTCAGTGAAACAACGAACACACTACTTTTAGAGAGTCCTAGTGCTGCCCACGTCCTTGAGGAGCTTTCTTCCTGCCAAGCTGTGCATTTTGCATGTCATGGCATCTCCGATGCCAAAAACCCTTCAAATAGCCATCTCCTTCTATTTAAGAACGACGGTTCAGAGAGGGGAGCGATCGACCCGCTGACTGCCGGTGCAATATCGGGTACGAATATGAGAAAGATGAACGCTCAGATAGCGTACCTCTCGGCTTGCCACAGTGCCTCCAATCAAGCTCAAAACCTTGCAAACGAATCGATTCATATTGCCAGCGGATTCCAGCTTGCCGGGTTCAGTCACGTGCTTGCAACCCTCTGGAAGTCTCAAGACTCTGCCGCTGAGGAGGTTGCGGTTGAGTTTTACCGGTCTCTGTTTGATGGCCATGGAGACGGGCACTCCAAAGTCAGCCTTTCCCTCCACCGTGCTGTGAAGAGATTACGCGACAGAATCCCAAGGCAACCAATTGTATGGGCATCCTACATCCATACGGGAGCTTGAATGCGAGATATGGAGACGATACAGCTACAGTTATTTTCTTGGAGCTTAGACTTGTCTTTTCCCTTTTAGGGGATCTTGAGGAAGATGTTATGGTATTAGTGGTACTCGGTTGTGGGTTTCGTTCGTGAAAACCTATGTATCTTATATTGCTTTTTGGCAGAAATTCCTTAAGATCCTTTTTTTTTTTTGGTTTCCCTCAGTAATTATGTGGGTTGACAGTGGGCGGACCCCGCAATGAGTCATGAGTTATTTGGGTGTACCCGGGTTAGCAACAGTGGTTTGGGTCATGTGAGAGGTAAAACTTCTGTGTGTTGGGTTCGGTGGAAGGGAAGATTTACCTAGGTGAATGGGTTGAGCAAAAAAAAAAAGAAATTTACTTAGGTAACCGATGGGCCGAGTGATCTTCTATGAAGATATATGTATGGTGCGCCCACGCTTAAAGATAGCGGATCGCGACGAAATGTCAATGGCTTATAACTTTGCGACGAAAAACCGTAAAAAAAAAGCGTAATGATAGAACTCTAGTACTAGTGATGAAGTTTAGTTCTATCATTGCAGAATCTTAATATCTGTCTGGGTTGTAAAGCCTTAGGAAGTTGAAATTGTGTATTTTTGTATGTAAAATGCGCCAAGACTGAACAAAGTGGAACAGTATTATACCCATTTATACCCCAGAAAAGCAAACCTGACTGATCCGTGGCAGTAATGCAGCAGAATTGCTAGAAATGGGCCCTCTTATTGGCCCATGAGGCCCTATTGCAGCCACAATTGTTCCACTTCGGTATGCCACCATATCACCTTTAAGAGTGTGCGCACCATATCTGCTGTATAATTCTAGCGGGTAGGTCCGAGAAGATGCAACAGTTATAGGCGTAGTTGCTTTGCAGAAAAAGCCGTTGTAAAGAGAAATTCAAACAGGGTAGATGCCTACAAAGAGTTGATCAAAGATCTTGTACGAAACGTTACCTATATTTTCTCTACGCGCTAGTGCGCGTGTGCACGCTAGCATGAAGTACATGTAGTCTTGTCTATGAGACGGGTGGGATCTGGTCGTGCCACCCTCACGAGTCGATTTTAGCTCAGCCTTTCGGATGTTATCTTAACCACTGCAAAAACACCAACATAAAATGTTGCATCAGAAAACCCTAACCCTAGGACATATATCCCAACGAAGATATCTAAAATAATCTTAGGGATGGCTAGTATCTAAGCGTATGAAAAGGCAACTTGATCGAACCGAGCCGAGCAGCTCTTGTTACCAGCCGGTTCGAGCTTTCCCTCTTTCTCGTCTCGAGCTGGCTCGTGGACCACAAGTGCGGGTTGTGGCATGCCTAACCCTGTCAAGCGAGGATCGACTTCGCCTGCGATGAATTAGGGGTAATCAAGGTTGGGTGACTTCGCCGGATGAAGTGGCGGATGAAGTTTTTTAGTGGGCGAAAAGCAAAAGCAGTAGAGTGCGGACTAAGAGGTTCACCCATGAGCGTTGAAGGTGGTTGAGTGGTTGGGTTTTGGTTTAGCTATCCAAGATAGGTATAGGGATGGTGAAAGGCAAGGGTTAGGACCCGATCTCTTTCATTTTCCAACGTTGTTCAAAGGTTTGGTGGGTTGCCGTGAGGCCAGTGATCGTTGCGCGAGATTTAATTACCATGCCATAGAACTTAGAGAAGAAAAGGCTTGTGAACCAGCTGCAGTTATTCAAGGATGCTAGCGAGCGCCTTGGGGTTATGGGAGGGGGGCTGTTCAATTTTGGGGTAGAGGTTGTACTAGGTGCTTTGACAGGTTGACCGGCGCTGAGATTTTCTTTTGTTAATTTGTAACCTGGCTCTTGAAGACGGATATATATATGTCTACCGCTATTTTTTTATTTCTTCTTGGCTTTTTTGCTTCAGTAAGCTCATACAATTAATGAATCAATTGCTCTAATTAGCTTGTAAGGAGTGTTTCTAAGCCGGCTTTTCCGACGATTTGCGCACGTGACAACGTTCTCATCTCTGTGGCCAGAGGTTTAGCGTATGTAGTGGGTTTACTTCGTCGGTTTCGACATCCAATATCTATCTGCTAATCGCCCGTGAACGGAAGTCACGATACTCAAGACCTCCGCCCGCCCTCCACCGCTTCTATCGGCGATAGCCCCCCCCGCGCGCCCCTTTTTTTTTCCCCGCAAGGCGGTTGCTACAGTGGTACGGTATCTCATGCCCAGTCCGGCTATCAATTGGTACAGTGATCATTGGGGCAACGATGAACAGACAGAAAGATATATCCCTGATACCTGACCATCTGATTTGCGGAAAAGTGCGTTCTCCGGTCGCTGCTGTATCAGTAACCATTCTATTTTTTCATGCTCCTTCCGACGACTAGGGATGCTGAATGCTACTTGATTCGGGAAATAACAAAGTTCGGTCCTCCAATCAATAAACCGTCCGGAGATGTGCCTGAGATTGTTTGGGGAAATGGCCAGTGCTAAGCGATAATTCTGTAGCGTTTAAACTGATGATATTGTAAACCGGATTCCCTTGACTTGATGGTTGAAGATACCCTCAAGTCTTCGCAGAATCCTGCCCTATTTATACATGTTGGGACCTATGCCAAGGCCCGCTTTCTAATACTAACTGATACACGATAATAGAATAAGATAATGTTCCCGAAGATAATCCAGATAGAAAAGCGCCCCCGCATAGTTCCGCCCCTTCATTCTAATTCCGACACGTAACCATGAACCTTGCAATTTCCAGTCATCGGGCTGTACCATACTACTATCCTAGACCTACTTCCCTAAGTAGAACAGCCTTCCGCCGTAAGCCCCGCTTCCTATTCTATTCCGGGTGAGACACCCAATAGTAAGCGTGCTGTCATAATAGTATGATACTAGTGTGGTAACACCGCGTGCCCCCACACTACCCGATACCTTTCGATGCTTGTCCTTCCGTTACCCGACCGTCCTCGCATCACAACCCGTCACTCGTATTCCTCACTGTTCTAAGCCTCTAGAACAGTGCTCCGTAGTTCCTGTAACAGAGATCTTGAGGTACGGGAGTGGATCTTGTATTGTACTGACCTTGTTCTGTGGTCCCAACCAACTCCACGCCGTTCAAGAGAAGGTCCGCATAGACTGAACTTGAGAGAACTCCGAACGAACCCGATCTACACACTCAGATGATATCAAAGAACCCCACCCCCGCCGGCTAGAAAATCTCGCGGGCGGCGAGCTTAAAGAAGCATATCATCACCCCCGAACCGACCTTCCGTATTAGTGCAACCCTCCTCCTCAAAGCTAACAGTGTCCTCTGTTCCCAAAGCCGACCCCCGGAGTTTCAGTTCTATTTCCCGTTGCAAAAGGGGGTTCGGTTCTTAGCCCACAGTTTGTTGCGCGCACGCGCGGTGCGGACTCGGGAAGGCCGGGCATGTACCGGATTGATGGAAGGTAGTAACAATCTACACACACCGCACCTCAACCGTCAGTCGTCATTAACCGCTCGCCAGTCGCTACCGATAGATGACACCCTTTCGGTGGGTCAGTACCCTGCGATAGCAGTGCCCGCATCATCATCGCACCCGCTTTACCACAACCCGGAGCGCATCGCAGGGGAGGTGTTCGGGGAGCAGATCCTGTGGAGCTACATGTCGGGGTTGAACTCATGCTGTTGTTGTGTAACGGAGACACGGTCCGCGACCCACCACCTTTCATCCATGGCAATGCGGGGAGGTCAGGGGTGGGTGGTGTTAGCGGGGTGCCGGTGGGGAACGATGACGCGGAAGTGCCTTTCGTGGAGTATCCATTTTCATCTTCAATTCAGGCCACCACGTATAGCTACTTGACACTACGCTACTGTCTCTCAACGCAAACACGCCAGCTGTCAATGCCCTGCAGAACCCATGCCTGATTAGCTTGATACGACGCCGATCGCCAACACCAACATCGCCGCCGTGATCGGCTCCGGCACTCCAGCATATCGCTGAGCGGGCGGCATCTCGATGGCTGAGCATGTGGCGGCCTGCGGGAGCGGGGTAGTAGTGTATGACGGCGTTGTGCAGCGAACCCGGGAGTTTCAAACTGAGTTACTAACAGACAGTTTTAAACTGGTTAGAAACTGGCTTGAGGAAAGCTGGGTGTTATGGTTATGAACTAATCACTGGTGTAAACCAAATTTTTGTATGGGTTAGGGTAATTCGAGGTGTAAAATCAGATTAGAAATTAAATTTGGGGTGGATTAGGGTAATCTTGGGGTGGAAATCAAGGTTAGTTCATGACATCTGACAGTTAAAAACTGCTGTGTATGACAGGCTGAGTTCGTGACGCTGTTTTTGACTCGAGCTCTGAGTTCGTTACGGGGCACTAGTAAATACATACAGTACGATGCCAGTCGTGAGGGTCAGGCGCAGCGTCGCAACGCCCCCCGAACCATCACGGGTACCAGCACAGCAACCACAATTGATCCTTTGGAGAGCTGAATTTTTGTATAGTTGTTAAATAGTAGATAAATAACAATAATTTCACATTTAATATCTTGTGTACCAACCTGCCGTGAAAAGGTTGTGGAAATCTGGTTGCGCGCGCGGCGTTGCGACGCCGCGCCTGACCCTCACGACTGGCATCGTACTGTACATATGCCATCCTTCATGCAGGTACGCGATCTCCAACCAGGATGGTGGAGAAGAAAGCCTGGGCATATGCAAGTGCATGTGCGACCTCGGGCCGTCCCGGGCCAGCCCGCGCAAAGGTGACAAAAACAATGTTAGGGCAGGGTCCCGTGAAATATTCACGAGTAAGATACTGGGAGTAAGAAACATGGTTATAAACCAGGCCCGGTCGAGAGGGAGTAAGACACTGTGGCAGGGTTAGGGTTATTTAAGCACAAATTTAGCAGAAAACAATCCGTAAAGAGTGAGGCAGATACAACTAGCTGGACCGTTGAAGAGGAATTCCGCATTTTTGTCTTATCTCATCGGCCACCCCAAGCATCATGCATTTATAAACACCAGTTTCCAACAGCTCGAGTGCTTCACCCTGTTTTAAACACGTCCTCGAGTATCTCACGGGACCCTGGTTAGGGGCCCGTGACGAACCTAGAAGTTCAAAACCGAGTTACTGATAGATAGTTTTAAATTGGTTAAAAACCGGCTTGAGGGAAGATGGGTGGCATGGTCATGAACTAGTCAGTGGTGAAAAATGGAACTTGGGGTGGGTTAGGGTAATTTTGTGGTTAGCTCATGACATTAACAGTTAAAACTACTATTTATGACAGACTGAGTTGACACACCCACCCTCTATGCCTTCTCGCGCCATAGATACCACAAAAAAGGCTATCTCCGGTCAAGGATTGTTTCCTTAGCGATTGGTTGAAGTGTGTGATTTTGATATCATATGCACAGCCAATTTTTCGAGTTATAGCGGTACGAGATGAATCATCTTCGACTGACAAGATCGAGGCATGTATTGATGATGATAGTGACAAGACGGCACCAAGAACTAGAGGTAGTCGTGATGCGGACACCTGCACATGATACTACCAATCACTACGTTCCCCTTGGCGCCTATTTCGGCTATCATCCGCATCTCTGTATTTCAAACCGTTTACAACGAGTGCGCCCAACAATGTGCATGCTCAGAGCCTCAAGACTTGGCAAGCGTGTACTTGGCACTAGCTGCCAAGGTTATTTCCTCCACAGCTGCACGAAATATCACTCGCGGGCGGCGGTGATCAATACCGAGACTTTCTGTCCTGATACAATTGCACTTGCTTGGTTTCATTCGTTTCTGGGCCGGCCGTCACCCAACAATACATTTGCTTCTTAAAGCATCTGAGGTTTAAATCAATCACTACACCATTAAGAATTTCCTAGCACTGAAAATTAGTGGGAGGAATGATGGTTGCAACGTGCATAAAACTATTCCTGATAAACAAGGTCTTGGTGTAGGTATATTGAAACTTAAGAACACAAAAATCTGAGACCACCAAAGAACAGGTCAAACCCCGACAAACCCCGAAAAACCTCCCAACCTATCTCCTGGATACCTCACAATTCACTTCAAAACGGATGCCGCTCACTCCCTCCAAGTTCACTGCGTCATCTAGCACATTGACATTCCATGTTGTAAACAGCGCTGGTCGACTATACTGGTCGGCATCAATGTACACCCCATCCGTCACAATCCGTTCACCGTTCGCTTCATACTCAAAGGATCTTGGTGCGGTTTCCCCGACAAACTCAATGGCCTCGTACGGCGGGGCAATATCGATATCCCTGAAGCGAGATGCGGAGCTGATCTCTAGATCAATTGTTGAACCGCCGGTGGTTGTGGCGCCTGTAAGGTAACACCTACGGCGGTATTAGTGAAACGCCCACAATCAAAATCCCACGGCGATGGAGGTGGGGTGGAGGTAACATACCTAACACGTGACACGCGAACACGAGCAAACCTCGAGAACATTGCGTTCGTGATGTCAACAGTGAACGATATAGCTCTGTCTCCCTTCAATCGACTCTTCCAGTCGGCTCCACACGATTCTTCTGTAAATTTGAACGTTCGTTCTTGGCTCCTAAGCTCTGCGCGCACCGATGCAACGGCGCCCTGAAGCCTTGCCGCATCGTCGACATAATACGGCGCTGGCTTCGTGGCCGCTATCTTAATGGGTGGGGTGCGATTGAGAGAGAAATATGTGTACGCTGCGAGATACCCGTGGAAGTCCACAGCCACCCATGTCCGAGCTGACAAGAGGCGCTCAAACATTGCTCTCTGTACGATAGACAGAACATGCTCATCGGCGGCGATATTGGTGATAGCTGACCTAAGGCGGCCAGTATGGCGGTTAGCCACCCGCTGTTGAAGTACCACACGAGTGAGGGTATCTCCGGTGGTGATGTAGGCTGTCTGAGCTGCAAGGATTGCTTTGCCTAAGATGGGAAGTTTCTGCAGAGCAGAGTAGTATTCGACATAGCCCTCGATGTCTACGAAAGTTAGTTTAAGTGAAAATTATGGGGAGATTGAGGACTGGGAGAGGGATAAATGTTTCCGGGCCGCAATTACCGTTCTCAGCCATCTGCGAGAATAGTGATTAGTTAACTATCAGTAGAGTGAAAGGAATGGGGTCCCACAGGATCAAAAACCATCTTGACATCTACCGCGTATGAGTCCCTGAAGAACGGATCAGTATTGATTAAGCAGACTCAAAGGGTTAGAGCCATACCACTCAGCTGCAACGTTGATCACATCGTCCGTCTTGCTCGATGGAACTGGGTAGAAGCTGTCAGCATGTTATGTCAAAGGTTCGGCGTCGATATGTACCTTCTGGGATCTTAGGCCCGGTCTCAACCTTTGAGGAAAGTGCCTTCACGATGGCTGCTGTACTATCAACAATAGTCTTGATCTTCTCAAGGGCCTCATGTAGCTTTTCAATAAGCTCTGCAATCTTTTTGATGCCTTGGATGAGTTTCTGAAATTTGCTGGTCCCTTCAGCGATCTGTAACCACGGATGTTAGTCAAGAGTGTAATGTACAACTAGGTGATGTGGACACAAAAACGGACGTTTTTGATTGCGTTTGCTGCGGCCCCTGCGCCTGCTGCTGCTCCGGCGGCGCCCGCTGTTCATGAAACTATAATCAGCACTCAATCTTTGACACACGAGATCACTCACATACCTGGTGGGACTACAACGGCGACAACAAGACTCGCCGTTACTGTCACCAATGACATGATGGCCTCGCCAATAAGTTTGTTCTTCTACAATGCTAGTCAGCATTAATCCACGCATTGAGCTTCATGGTATGGACTTGCCTCACTCTGCTTCCACTTTTCTACACCTGCATTAAATGCCTTCGCCAGGCCATCAAGCTCACTTTGCAGTTTCTGTCTCCTGTTAGAGCCTGGTATTAGAAGTGGGGCATTTTACCCACATTAAATCTCTTCTTCGCGGTCTCATACGCCTCCTCCGCATCCTTATACCTCTTTTTTGCAAGCCCCTCCAAAAACAGGTACTGAGACTCTACATCTGCAGAGTGGCCGAGTGCAATTTCCGCTGTAGTCTTTGCGTCTTCCTTCCTCACAGTCTCAGACACAAAACGATGGTAGCTATTCTCAAATGCGAGCACCGCCGCCAGGCGCGCTTTAAGCACGCTCTTGCAGGCGCCGAGATCGAGAGAGGGGACATAGACGGAGAAGCCGTCACCCATGGTGCCTATTTGTTGCCTTCGGTCAGTAACAGCGATCTTATTTGTATCCATGGGGAACGGAGGAGCACTGACTGAGACGTGCTGCAAGTGCATTAGCTTGTAAATTGAGTTCCAGTGCTGCAGCATTCCCTTGAGTTGCGCCAGCGATAAAGGACAGGATGCTATAAGTTGTTGGTATATCGGTCTGGATCCATGTCGACGCTAGAATGAACTGGTACTGAAGAAGCCGGGGAAGGTTACTGAAATATATGTTAGCACTTGGGTGACAGATTATTAAAGAATTTTACTTGAGGGCATGGAGCTTTACTCATTACGACGACCAAGGGTTTTGACACTTTTCCCATCCGGTGTCAGTTCAGCCCAGTAGTCCAGCGTATCGAGCTCGTCAGCTGGCTGCTCAGCATCATATGTCTTGATTCCATCTTCCTCCACGGATAGGATTACCCCCATGAATCTGGTTTGGGCTTGAGGGTTTGCTTGGCACCGTTGATAACGACCACAAAGTTCGGCGGAAGTGCACTGGTTCGGAAGGCGATACTGCTATCGAGTGGAAGCTTCACTTCCAACGGCTTAGTCGCCGAGGGGAACCAGAGTCGCGCTGTGAGAAGGATATGGGTTTCCGTGGTAAGTGAGATCTCCGGGGTTTCCGTAGCGCTATCGATACAATCGCCATAGATGCGGATGGTGGAGGCCGTTTTGCCCTCGAACTTGCTAAGGTGTGTGACAGCGGCGCCGATGTCGGGCCAGCATGGGCGACGGGCACTGACCTGTGTAAAACCTGTTAATAGTGAAAGTCGGGGGCGGTAGTATGTGCAATCAATGTACCTGTGACCCACTAATCCATTCGGCCTCAACCACGTTAAATTCTGTGCCAGTGAGACTCAACTGCTGGATGGCTGCGTCGTAGTCTTCCGAGGTTTTCTTGACAAGAGCCATGAGGAGGAAGGAAATATAGAACTCAGTGATAGCTTAAGGTACTGCGTTTATGCTGGATCTTGGGGTGAATGGGGATTGCAAATGCTGTCGCCTGGGAGAACAGTCACCTTTATACCTATATATTGGTCAATTGCGGATGGCAATCATGGGTTCATCGCGGGGAGTTTCTTTAGCTCTGTGATCTCCTCTGAAGCGAACATTGAAAGTTCTGGGTATTCCAAATCACCTCTGATGATAACCACGCGGAAAGGCAATGGAAAGATGAATGAACGAATGATCGATCTCGATACCCTCCGAATACTATTTCAGAAACTACCCCGCTTTCCACTCACTATGGAATCCGAAATATGCTGCAGTTGGCTAAAGCAGATCAATTCTTCCCTGTCTCAAGTTTGAGCCCGCATCCCTTAGACGGATGAAACTCCGAAACACGGGACAAGGACCGTGCACGCACTTAGTGAGGTAATTATGTTTCTTTTTATGTGTGACAGTAACAATGCAGCCCATCCAAAATCAGCCAAAGGTACCATATAAGGCTAGTGATAGCTGAAAGAGGATATCGCGAACCTGAGAGATCCACCAGTCCAAGGGATAGGATGTATGCACTGATCCCGAAGCTTAACACCATGCACGCCCAAATAAATATGGTCCAGAGCGATCTCAGATCTACAGATACCTCGTGCGTGGGGTAGATATCATATGGATTCGTAAATTTTCTGAACCATCCACGGCATCATGTAATAGTTTACAATCAAATCGGGTTGGTTTGGGGCTTTGTGCAGCTACATGATGATGATGAAATGTCTGTATTTACCTCATTCACGGTCGCCGAGCACAGGTCGGGGGATAGGCAGGCCTGACATCGGTACTGTCTCTCCAATGTGTTCCGCGCTTGTCGAGATAGTGTAGAGTAGATCTATCTCTCAAGTGATAGAAACCGGCTCCGTTCGATTACATCACACATCATCAAGATGCTGCATCAGTCTTAGGGCCAATCTTTCTGAAAATAAAAAGAAATATCAACAAAAGGAATATCACTTACAATGTTGGAGTTCCAAAGCCATAGCTTGTAGAGTAGTTGCTCCGCGACATACACGCACTTACATACGTACTTTCAGCTCGGTTAATCCCGTAGGTCCGATTGCTATGCAGCCTAGTGCAGGTGCACCGTGCACCTAGCTCGTTATGTCATTAGCGTATTCTTGGAGCCAAGCCCGCGCTAGAATATTCTACCCGAAAACGTACATGTAGCTATTGTGGGTTGTCAAAAATAATGGGACGCAACAGGGCAACGAATACAGCAACGACAACCCAACCCCGCCACCAACGAATGACAATACTAATGAAAATACATTTTAGGTCTCCAATAATTCTTCTTATCACTTATCCTGTTTGTGGTCTCTTTGTGGTCGGTCGTGGTTGAGAGATTATTACGTTACAATGAAGCCTGTTGCGTCCCAATATTTTTGACAACTCATAATACGTATGCATATGGGGTAGGTGTGTCAACTTCAAAGGAACTTTTTTTGTATGGAAATTAGAGAAAATTCCACTATCAGACTAGGCACTAGCAACCTTATGGGAGTAGATCTCCTAATTCCTATACATTGATTAGCTGAAAACGCCGAAGTTTACACACCTACCCACCATAGCTTCTCGAGCCATACATTGCTTTCACGTTCAACCCAATAGTAATCGCGTCTCAGCTGCAGTACTTGCGCATTCGGGTACGTCTTACCTACTGCAAGTATAATTTTTCACTGTTGGTTTATATCCGTAGTTACCGCTTCAACCCCATGGATGCCATGAAAACACTAATAATTAGTACCTGTTCATCAACAGACATTGAAACCTGCCCCCGCACTTGTACTATAGCCTCCAAACTCTTAATTCCTTTTCCCCGTCAGAGTTTCTTACGCTCAAGCTCTTTATAATTGTAGTCGAGAGAAATTCCAACCATTTCGTAGCCAATTTTCTGAGTCTACAATTCCTCATAAAGCCTATAATAGCGTTGAGTACGTCCTACCCCCACTACCATGCTTCATTACTGTCCCGATTTATAAAGGACATAAGACGGCAGTCTGTTGATATTCGATGAATATATACTCGTTTACCATGAAAGGGCCGGGGGATGCAAGTGACGGGACCGGGATAGTTTTTAGGAGGGATCATGCCTTACCCTCAGCAACTGCATTTTCTGGTTCTATTAACGAAACGAGTACACAACGCCTCGTTCACGTGAGAAATGATCGCCAAGTGTTTTTTTATAGAACTGGGTGAAAATATTAAGAAAATATTAAGTAAGCGGCATTTTAATTCTGGCAGACTAGTGAGTACACAACTTAGCCAACATGAAACGACTAAGCCAAACGCTTCTCCCGTTCGTGATCGCCGCGTGACCCTACTGAATCAGTTGTTCTGTTCAACAGGTTAGCCGCATCGTCGATCGCTTCCTTTCAAGATTAGTTATTATATGTGCGGAGGTTTATTCCTGCCATGATACTTCGCTAGTGTGATAGTTAGTTCTAAGACTCTGGAACCTGATTGTATTCATTCAAGGCCTACCGGAAAACAGCTCAGTATATCTGATTCGATTCGGATCTTCTCAAGGACCATGAATTACTCGCGCGGCTGAGTTTCGACTTACTCACGTGACGCTATTTAACATGTTTTTTACGTTACCCATAGGTCATGTGATTAAGTTGAAACTCGGCCGCGCGAGTAGGTCAGAGGTAGTGTACTTCGGTATCAGAGGTAAGTGAGTAGAACGCGGCGGTTCATATGCGCGAGCAAAACAGGAAAACTACAGCTTTAGCCACGCTGCCACGATCTACTCACTTACCCTTGATACCGAAGTACACTAAGTTTACTCCCTCGAGTTGAGTCTAGGCCAAGGATCGTCAGCTTGGTGTCGATAAACCCTCATCATTTTGAGCTGAATATCTCCGCTGAATGCAGGAAGAAAAACGTGAGAGGAATCATTCACGCAGCCGATAAACTCTCAGCTGAATGAAGACGTCAGAGGAATCATGCAGGTAGCCGATAAACTCTCATCCCTTTGAGCTGAATATCTCAGCTGAATGCAGGAAGGAAGACGTGAGCCAGATCGGCAAAAAGAGAGAGCCCTTTTCGTGAAATTGAACACGTGATTGTCTCACGGAGTGAACCCCTCCCCCCGCAATTGAAACACTCCAAACAGTTCTGAGAGCTGGTACGCACAGGCATTCTTTGCTAACTTCAATCCAGCAGGATAAATACGGCCGAAGACCGCTCGGCGATATTGTAGCAACATACCCAAGCTATCCAGACTTCCCATTCTAGCCTCGAGTTCTTTCAAGCTTCAAACCTCACCCAAAACTCTTGTACCCATCCTCTCACCAAAATGACAGAGGTCGCCAAACCAGTTGATTTCCTAGCCCACGCTACGGCGTTCCTCTATGACTGTTCTGCTCGTGCACGCGCGGCTGGCGTTACAACCGCCACGCCTACCGAGCGATTCGTCTTTCATACTGCCGAAGGGGTTCAGCTACAGGCCTACCTCCGTCAGGGCATGATGTTGCCCGCTACGAAGGAGGCCTACGAGACCAAATATCCGCGCAAAGATGTAGAAACATTTCTCAACGAGCTGGACAAAAAGTTCAACCTGTACCAGGTAAGTGGTCCATCGAGAATTGCACAGTCGACCCTGACTGACTGTTTGGCTCTGTACACTGAAGGCTGCTCAAGACAATGCTCTCAGCATCTTCAAGCACACAACGGATTTCCACAACAACACTTTCAACGAAATGTTTACCCTAAGTATGCCTGGACTTGGAGCACTACCAATACCAATTTATCTGCTAAGTACTGATCTGTAACAGCGGGCAAGATCAGAAACTTTGCCGAGGAGGCCAAGGACAAATGCGAATACTTGCGGGAACAGTTTGTGATTATTACAGCAGATGGCTCAAAAGTCACCGATCCCGCGGTCAAAGAGGCGATCGGTACGTCTCAGGCCATTGCACAAATCCTAGGTGGAAAGGCAAAGGCCGCAGGTGAAGAATGTGCAGTGATGCACAAAGCTCTCCTGAAGGTATTCCTCTCATATTCTCTCACCGTATGTGAGGGGTGTCTAACAGCCAGTGCAGTTCAAAAACGACACTGAAATCGATCGTAACAATGTGATGGACTGCAACAAAAAATTCACGGCTGTACTGCCGGGTATCAACGCGAGACTCGAAAAGCTAAAAAAAGACATCAAGGACCTCAAAGACAAAACTCAAGGGCTAGAGGATGAGTACCACCACCAGGTTGTTATCGCGGCGACCACTCCTAGTTATGGTATGTCTTACAAAGGTTCATGCGTACTAGTGACAAACGGTTATTAACCACATTCAGCCTGGCTTGGCCCAATTGGGCTTATCGCTGCCATCACGGTGGCAAGTATCCATGGGCCAAAGGCAGTGGCTGCAAAAGACGCATGGGACAGCAACCTAGCCAGCATTATTAGTGAGGAGGGGAAAGAAGGGAACCTGATCAAGATCAAAGGTGGGTTAACTTCGGCGGAGGGATCCGCATATCATCTCGGTGAAAATGACCTTACTGACAGGAGGGACCAATAGACGCCATCAACATGCAGGATGATTCTATGAAAGGCGTCAGAGAAACTATCGATGCTGCCCTAGCGGCTACGGAAAAGATGCGAGGTATATACTCTTGACTCGTTTTATCTTACAAAGGGGGATTATTGATATCGGTCTCAGGTGCTTTCAGCTTAATGCAAGGTGACTTCGATGGTATTTACACCAAGCTGACCGATTTTGAGACCAATATTGGAAAGACCGAATTATTCTACCGAAAGATCGGTGGACGTGACCTCAAACAGGCTGAGGGCAAGTGGGCAGAGGTACATAAAGCTTCGTGCTATATTCCGGTAGATTCCAGGTGCTAACTCTCACAGATTATGGAACAAACCAAGATCTTTCAAACTTCAGGCAAGGCTGAGTTCAAGACGATGTAGAATGGAGCGGGGGGAGAGGTAGTGTTGATTATCTGATTGGCTCAAGAATATCTGCTTTCAATTCAAGTATAACCAGGGTCGCATTCGTTTCAACGTAACAATAAAATATTTGAAGCGCGTCTCGTGAAGGCTGCATAAGCACCTTAGCTTCAGTCGGTGATAATTACTAACATGAGGGGCTTGAGTTGACAAAAAGAAGCACAAATATGGTCGGGATAAAGGGCCACATTGTGTGTACTTGTGAGGCGTGAAATCATTAGGTATTCATAAGATTCACTCAAAATACCTACATCTCAAAATGTGTCACTGCATTCTAGGCCCAACAATTCATGTGGCATGTTTCATTGTATTAGTACATCCCATCCAACAAATATCTTGGCGTAATCCTCTGTTTTATTACAGTTATGCCTTAATATACTATTGCCCTGGGCGGTGCTACTGCAGGGCAGTCGCCCGTGCCGTCATGTAAGGTCACTCGCAGGGCCTTCATCAGTTATCACTCGGTTCTATCATAGAGTATCACTCGACCCTCCGATCATTGTTGTTGATTGATTCATGCAGCCCGTACGCAATGGCAAAAGCTCAGACCCCCATACCATGGGTAGCGTAAAATCCCCCACCTCAAAAATAAGAGATAAAGAAATAAGAAAATAATATAAAACCCCGCCTCTCAATTATTAAACAATCTGGCCTAACACTTCTCCTTTGGGGAAAAGGTCAACTATAATTCTGAGGATGTCCCTCCATCCTTTTTCTCTTTTTACCCCAGATAAGGTCGAACCCATTCTATCTTTTGTACCAGTTACCAGTTTTCTATGTACCTCGATGCTTCCCGTTTTCTCTGTGATGTTGAAGATAACCCACGAACTTTCACCCTGTTTTAGGCAACTTTGACGGCCCATCAGTAGTTTCTCCTGGTCTTCCCTATGTTAGAACCGTCAATGACCCCTGTTCCCTTATCAAACCTTCCTACAGATTAATCTTGCATCATTTAGAAGACAATAAATACTCGATTGTAGTGTTGACATAACTAAAGCGAATAGAAGCCAAGTAAAACGGGCTCACGTGGCGGAAGTCATACTATTAATTCTCTGCAAGATCGCTACCGTCCTCACCATTGCCATAAACCACGGCTTGCATGCAATTAATGAATTAAACAAAAAAGAAAAAAAGCTACAGTCCTCACCTACTTTCATTTCTCTTGTATACAGCATTATGATACCCCGAATCGGAGAAATACAAGGGTAGACAACAGAACCCCTTATTGAGCTCCATAAAACAGGTTATCCATACTCCGTATTTATATGTGCTCTGCCCCATCTTGGATCCAGCCGGTAAGGAGGAAAATAATAACGTAGGGGAGCGCGAGAGTAAGGTAAGCAAATAACGCGAAGGTTAAACCGTATTTCGTCTGCAGTGGTAAGCCAGCCCTGTGCTAGTTCACTTCAATTTCGTTGGTAGGGTGCCTGGCACTGCTAATTATGTAGCCTAGTGATGAGACAAGTTAACTTGGGAACTCCTCGAAACATTTGACGGACAAGGCGGGACAAGACAAGACTTGTCCTAGAGGTCTCGAGACTAGTCTCAAGACTTTTTTGACTTCTTTGCACCACATTGCAAACTCTTAACTCAGGGTTAGGGCTACTATTCGCTGTATTTCTCGTTTTTCTGACAACGAGATCTCGAGACTTTGTCGAGACAGGGCCCTTGCCTCAAGGCTTTCGAGACCAGAATGAAAAGGTACAAGCCGAGACAAGATCTATCCAAGTCTCGTTTTATCTTATCCCATGCCCATCACTATCAGCTTAGAGATGGGGGGAGGTTCGCGTACAACAATCTTATTAGTTTTACGGATACCATATATATGTCGGCCCACCAGCGCCACAGAGTTCCTTGGCCTTATCAATCAATGCTATCTACTCTTCAGTTAGATCTCCCGGTGCTGGATGGAGCCTACTTTTCAGGTGCCCTATGATTGCTCCATGCAGGTCTATGAGGCGTGGTACGGCCAACACCTCCTACAGGTAAATACATCCTCACTAGGGGTGTGCCACCTCGCGACCGCGAGGTCTTGCTCCTGCTCAAGAAACTCTCCCACCTCCGTGTAGTACTTCGCACCTCCAGTGCACCCATAGCTGGCCACCGGTCCAGTAGTTAATTAATATTGCCCTTAGCCATTCCGTGGCCAGCTCCCAGTACCGTTGGCCAGCTCCCACTGTTGGCCATAGCCAGCTCTCATTAGTGCTCATTGCCAGCTCCCGCAAATATCCACCTCCTCCATAGTGATCCAGTTGTTAATAATAAGGTATCTCAACTCATGCCACTCCAATACCGCCTCCAACTAATTCCAGCTCCAGTTGATGCCACCTCCAGTTAATTCCAACCTGTTAATGAGTTCGGCATGCCAGTGTCACTGCTCGCTCCCAATCTTTGGTGGGTGGGCTGGTTGCCATGGGGGTTAGGGTTTCTAGCTCTCGACCAATCAGATGCCAGAGAGTTCGCAAAACCTTTAATCCAGTACATAACAGATTACCACTTCATATTTCCAGCGTTCCTCTTTCTTGGCTTGTGCCGCTTTGCCCAGATGATCTCAAAAGTCGTTCTTTAATTGTACTACCCAGAGTGCCTGTCCCGTAATATGTCCGCTTACTTGTGACATGAGCGAGCAGTGCATATTGCCCTGGCATGTACTTTGAGGCGGTCCGACCACTACATTGTCTCACCAAATCGCTTGATATCATGTCGAATACTCCTCCACGACATATGAAATAGTTCTGTGCGATCAAAAACTATTTCCTATGTTTTTCTGGCTTATACATAAGTATTGGTGCCTTTTTATTTTCACGCGCCGTTTGGACGGTTTCTGGTGACGGTCGGTTACATACTAAGTGAAATACATTAACGTCATCGCCATCATCGTCATAAAATTTGCTATATAAATATAAAATAGATAAGAAGAAGAAAGCCTCAGTTTGCTGTTTGGTTTTGTTCCAGTTGCCTTTTCTAAACCGTAATTTGAATCATTCCGGCGTTAGGATCACTTCTAAGCGACATGTAACACACTACCTACATATGTTACGTCCGGAAAAATATCCCTCTCCTAATTCATTTTTTATCCTAGCGTTAGTAGACTCTACATGTAGTACTACGAGAATTAATGAATCATGCAAATACCTAGGCAAAATTTTTGTTAAAAAGAACCACCTAGTGGCAAATGATCTGGATTCTGGACATGTGCCGCTATTGCATCCAAAAACGGATGAAATAATTTATGTCAATGTATGCTAGAATGTACGCTGCAAGGTCAGAGGTCGGCGTGGGGCAACGCCTGCTACCATCACGACGCATAACGACACTCAACCCCACGACCACAATTGATACTGTATTCATTCGAGCTTTTATATAGGTATTGCATACTATCCAGTAAACAGTTATATACAATTTAATACTTGGTGTACTACCCTCTTGCCTTTATTACAGCCTCAATTCTCCTTGGTATACTCTGTACTAAACCCTCAAACAAATGATCTAGAATTAGCTCCGAGTCCCAACAGTGGATAAGTGCTGCCTCCATTAAAGGTTATAAATCTACTGATCCTTTACTATCATTAGATATGTGGAGATAGTGCCAATGGTAGGTCTTTTTCATGTGTACCCGGATGTGCTCAATAGGGTTGAGCCTGGTGAGTATGGAGGCCAATCCAACTGCACCTCATTTTGACTAAACCATGTTTTACAAACTTTTGCTGTATGAATCTTTGCATTGTCCTGAATGAATATAGGCTTTATACTTCTGTCTCATAGCTCTTGAAGAAAATCAAGAATATCAAAATTCAAAGTCCTTATATATGCCTCTGGATTGACCGTACTGCCCCCCACCCCCCCCTTTCTATTAACATGCCATTACAGGTGCCCTTCAAACCACCAGCAAAACAGGCCCATATCATCTGCTTTACTCCTCCTGATTTCCTCTTGCCCCTAATACATTCGCGAACAATTTTTCCTTTGGCATCCTAAAGACCCACTGTACAGCTGAATCTGCGTACCTTTCAACGCTACACTCATCACTCCAGACCAATATTCTCTACCGCTCAACCCCCCAGTGCCTATGCCTACAGCACCAAGCCAGCCTTCACCTAGCATCATAATCCTCTAGCAAAGGTCTATTCACCTTGTATGCTTGCTGATTCCGTGTTCGCATAGTCGTCGCCTAATTGTTGATTTTGAGAGGGAAGCAGCAAATTCTGCACGAACCTATAGATAGGATTTTCGCGATCCATTTTAGAGGTGATAACTAGTCTCCTGTCGTCTACACTAGTTGTCTTACGTGGTCTGCCAGGTCTGGAGGGGACATGGCTGTTCCAGTGAATGATCTATGGAAAAGCATGGGAATGAAAGACAGGCTACGAGACCGGAGCTGCATTGGTTGGGAGAACATACTTCTAGGAAAGATGGGCATAGGCGCGAGCTCAAGCAAACAGAAACTGAGGCAAACGGAAACTGAGGCCAACGAAAATTGAAGGGCACGTTGACTTAGTTTTTATATAATTGTATCTACAACTTGAACATGACCTATACTCTAAGCTTACAGTTTACCTGGTGACGTTCTTATCTTTAACAAGATGGATATTCATCTACTTTTAAATGGTGTTCCAGGAGCGAGTGCCGAGCCAAATGCACCTGCCAGTAGTAAGACCACTGAAGCCAGGTATAAAACCTATTGCATGATACATGCACTACGCTTCAATGCCAAATGGACCTATGAAGCTATTGTCCAAGAGGTTAAAATGACTCCTAGTGGTATTTGGAAAATCTGTCAAGCACTTGCGACAACATGGAAAAATAAAACTGGCCGTCTTCCAATTATCAATGCCCTAACACCGAAGCTACCAGTCCAAACAGCTACTATCAACGCTGAGAACCGCAGGAAAACTCGCCGAGAAATTGCTTGGATGTCCGGAATAAATGCTTGTTACAAAACTCCACCAACAGTATTTGCAAAAAAAGGATATGATCGTCGGTCGGCTCGAGCGAAACCGTTTTTGAACGAAATCCAAAAATGAAAGCGACTGCATTTTGCTCTTTCGGTTCAACATTGGGGCAAGGAGGAATGACGGGGAATTATCTGGTCAGATGAATGTTATATTTGGATTACAGGTCCGGCTGGGTGGAGAGATATATGTTGCTGAAGATGGAGCACCCGCACACACTGCAGCATATACTCAAAATTTCCGGCAGCAATATAATATGCCAACATTTCAATGGCCTCCCTCATCACCTGATTTGAACCCTATAGAAAATATTTGATGTATATTCAAGAAGAGGCTTAACGAGAGGCTACCAAGGCCTAAGGGAAAAGCGGAAATGCGGGCTGCTATTGGGGAAGAATGGGCCCGGATTTCTGAGGAGGATATTCTCAAACATGTAGATAGTATGGCTGAAAGGATACAGGCCGTCATTGCTGCACAGGGGGGCCACACCCGCTGGTAGAACACTTTCCTAATAATCTAGAACTCGATTCATTATTTATATTTTTTGGCCCCCACCACCCCCCTGTACGTACAGGCTTGAGGCAAATCCATCGACCCCTAGCAACTCAACCATAAAGATATAAGATATAAAAACAGCATATTCGAAATCAGCAGCCTCAGGGCTATCTCCCTGTCCCAGAAAAATTCACAACCTTTGACTTTTGCAAAACTTCACTACTTTTTAACCGGGTTTTTTGGCTTTTTGGGCGGATTTCAGGCCCAAAAATCCCGATTTTCAGGTTTTTCAACAATAACTCAACAACCAAGCCAGCTACAGAGAATCTGAAAATATACCTGTAATCAGGGAAGTATTCTCTATCAGTCAAGCTAATTATTTTTGATAGTAGGGATAAAACTCACCCCTACCATCCCCAACCCTTTGGATCCCTCCCCCCCCAGAGGAGGACACTACTGCCAGCGGATTATTGTCTTGGCAGGCTTGGCGCTATCAGGAAGGTTACATGAAGACGATAAGACAATAGTATTATGAAAGACAAAGGCATTGTTTAGGAAAAGAACAGGGAGCGACCGCTATAACAACCAATAAGATAGCAAAACCAATTCAATATGCCACCCCCACAGATTGTGTATGTGGTAACAGGGCTCGGCAAACGAGCAATGGGCTTAGTCGAAAATCTCAAAGGCAAGGGACTCAGAATCCTAATTGACGATGAGGAAATCGATAAAATAAGCACGGTATACCTAAGACGAGCAAGGGGCCAGTATGACCCAGTGCAAGTCAAATATATGAATGGAGACCTCCATACCTCGAAAGCGATCCGCGAACAGTATGAGGCAGAGGCGGCAACGATGCGACACATCGATGAATTCTCCGACTTCGAGGGTACACCAAAGCCGGAGGAAGAAGAGCAGGCGGAGGTAAAAAAAGAAGAGGAAGAAGACGAGAAAATGGCTGATGAAGAGGAGGAAGAAAATGACCACCCAGAAGAAGTCAGATCAATCAAAAAAGGAAAGGAAAAGGCAATCGAGAGTGATGTAAGCCAAGCCGTTGAGGAATCAGAGATGGAATGGACGAAGCTCGACTTGTACGACAGAATCGAGCTTGCGGTAGAAGCCATCCGGGAATATAGGGTCAGCATTATTAATGAGACGGCGTATGAAAACCCGGACGTCGACATGGAAATTGCAAAGGATATGGTAGATGTTCCGGGAGATCAGGATGCAGCTATGATGTATGAGGCAGCGATGGATGTTATGGAAGAAGGAAAGGGGAAAAAGAGGAAGAGGCATGAAGAGGATCAAAGCCATAGAGAGGAGTTCTGGGACGCATGGATGAACCCAAGAAAGATCATACAACCGGGGAAGAAACATATTATCGAGAAGCTGGTCACGGGACTAAGCTCAAGCAAATGGGCCACTATAGCCAGGAAAGAAATTCGTCAGGGCCTGATGGCATCCAAACATGCACCAATATGCACCAAAGAAGGGCGAGACCAAAGAGGAACAAGACAGCTAACGCCCATCACAATAAGCAGCCAGAGCTCGAGAAGAAGCACCCCGGCACTGGAGGAGCTCAAGAAAGAGAAATTGCCTGACTGGGCAAAGGTAATGATCGATACCATCAAAGTGTTACAAAAGAAAGTAGCCAGACTAGAAGGTGAAAAGCTTGCGGCAGCACGAGTAAAGGAGCGAAGAGGAATGGGGACCGAGGAACCTACCAGGGGGGGAAGGAAGAGGCCAGACAGCAACAGGAGAAAAGAAGCCGAAAGCATAAACGAGAATAGGAGCGAACCCAAAAGCACTATCGGCGAAGTTAAAGGGTGGGCTGCGAGTGGAGCAAATCTCACCCCCATCGGGGGGAAGAAATTTGAACCGAATACTTCAGCAGGGGTCGAGGAGGACTGGAAGAAAATAGGAGAAGACCGGAGGAAAAAGCAGCTGGAGCGCATTGCAGAACGAAGAGAGAAAGCGAGAAAGAAAGAAATTATTGTGGAGGTTAGAAAGGGCGACTCAAATCAAGCAAGTAGCGAACAGCAACCCCTAAAAACAGCGGAGGAGTTTATCCAGAAACTGGGATTAGATAAAGAACAGGTGGAAAAAACCATGATAATCTCGGATGAAGCGGGAACTCCAAAACCATTGAGAGTGGTCTTCAAGAGTGAGGAAGCGGCGGAAAAGGCACTAAAGGAAAAGAAAGAGGATGTGGAACTGGGAAAGAGGCTCGAAATAAAAAGGAAGGAAGAAGACTGGGCAGGTATTGTCGTATATGGAGTAGATACACAGTGGGAAGGCAAACTCGAGGAACTGAAAACCCATATCGAGAAAGAGAATAATATTACTCTTATGAAAAATCCCCATTGGATGACCAAAAACGATACAAGGAAAACAGGAAAGAAGGATCTAGTAATCCACGTGGCGACAAGAAAGGCGAGCGAAGCGATAAGAGGCATCAAACTGGCAGACGGATACACGTATAACACCAAAGATATCAAAGAACACCATACCAGAGAATACATCGCCAGAGGAGCGGCGAAGGAACTCCAGTGTACAACATGTTGCAAGTTTGGGCACTGGTGGGCAATGTGCCGAGCTAGGAGGGCAAGATGCGGTATATGTGGAAAGGAGGGCCACCGGACGGACCAACATAAGTGCGATGATGAAACGTGTATTTCAAAGGGATGGTGCAAGAACCACAGGCAATTTTTGAAGTGCGCAAATTGCAAGGGACTCCATGGAGCCCGATCCAAGTGGTGCAGGGAGCGCGAGAACTGGTTTATGATGTCAATAGGAATGGAGCCGGAGAAGAAGGAAAATAAGGGAGGTGAATCTAGTGCCGCGAAGGTGGTCAAAAAGACCGAGAATGCTTAAATCTTTCGTCATCATACAGCATAACTGCAATGCATCCACCAATGTAATACAGGGGCTGATGGAAAGTGGTGGAAGAGCGGATATAATAGCAATACAAGAGCCATACATTGGAAAGGCAAGATCGAAAAGGACAGTAGAGGGAGCAGTCGAGCTAGGAAATGGGGAAATCACCGTCGGAAACAGCAACCTAGATATAGTTTACAGACCCGGAAAAGACGGAGAAAAAAGCAGAGTTATGTGGATGGTGAGAAAAGATAAAGGCATTAGATATGCGGTGAGAGACGACCTGTGGAAGGATTGGGATGCAAGCGTTATCGATATATTAACAAAAGACAACCAAACGGCACTTCGAATTATAAATATCTATAACCAAACACACAGCAGCCGAGAAGGGTGGTGTGTAAGAAGAATACCGGCCAATATTTGCGAAGGACAACAAACGATTATTCTGGGCGATTTCAATGCGAAAGGAAAATTATGGGATTCAGTGTCAGACCCAGTTAGAGAAGATGAAGTTATGGATATGGTGGAAAACCACAGCCTTACGCTCCTCAACACACCAGATGTAATGATGTGGCAAAGAGGAAGCCAAAAATCTGTGTTGGACCTAGCATGGGGAAGTAATAGTATTCATCTTCTTACCAAATGGGAGCTGGTACAAATGGAAGATACGGGATCGGATCATGCGCTTATAAGATTGCGAATCGGAAAAGCAAACCTGGAAGAGACATACAACCCCCTCGAAAGCCAATACAATTTCAGAAAAGCGGACTGGAAAAAGGCAATAGACGTAGCCAGAGAGCAACGCTCAAGACTAAGGGAAGAATGGAAAAGGGCCCAAGATAATGAGGATGCGGACGATATGGCAAAAATTATAGAAACCATCATACTAGCGGCAATCGAAGAAGGAGTCCCACGGGCAAGAAGAAGCTGGAGGAGCAAAAAATGGTTCGACCAAGGAGTAAAAGAAAAAAGGAAAGCAATGGCGAAATGCCGAAGATGGTGCAGGACGGGGGAGAGGGAAAGTGAAGACGCGGAAATAAGGAGAGCTGAGTGGAGGTTGAAGAAAAACGACTACTTCCGAGAAATAAGAAAGAAAAAGAAAGAATGTTGGGATAAGTTTGTGGGCGAGGCACAAGGCAACGACCTATGGGGAGTGTGGAGACTAGTATGCAAAAAACGATATGCAAAAACGCCTACTATCGAGCATGAAAATAAAGTGGCGGTTACATTCAAAGAAAAAGAAGAGATTTTTATAGAACAACTTTTTCCTAAAGCGCCAAATGATACAGACACCGTTAGAACGGCACCCCAATATGACGAACAACTGAAGCACACCCTGACGAAGGAGGAGGTGGGGGCAGCGATCTGGAAACAAGGAGCCTATAAGGCACCCGGCCCGGACGGTATCTGCTTTATCGCGCTTAAAGAACTCTGGTCGGAAATCAGAGATTTAATAACGGAAGTATACCAACTAGCATTTAATCAAGACTACCATCCAATCGCGTGGAAGAAAGCAATAGGCGCAATTATCCCAAAACCAGGAAAGGCAGATTATTCGAAGGCCAAAGCACACAGACCGATCTCACTACTAAATACATTAGGAAAGGGACTGGAAAGACTATCTACAGATAAATTGGCGGAAATTGGAGAACAAGGAGGACTCAGCCCACATCAATGGGGCGGGCGAAAGGAAAGGTTAGCGGAAGAATGCGTAGGATATACACTAGACTGGGCAGAGAAGAGGAAAGAGGAGGGCGAAAAGGTCATACTTGTAGCGATGGATATTGCTCAAGCCTTCCCGAACGTAAGCAAAGCAAAATTATCAAATATCGTATACGAACAAGGAAACGATGAGAGACTAGCGAGATGGGTACACAGCTTCATGAGTGACAGAAGAGTCAACCTAAGGTTCGACGGAGAAATGGGGCAAGAGCATATGGTGGAGACAGGAATACCGCAAGGAAGTCCTGCATCACCGATCCTCTTCAACCTTTATATCGCCCCCCTTATTAAAGAAGTCAACAAACTGGTCGAACAGGAATTCGAAGGAAAAGCAATCACACCCACCTTCATAGATGATTTTACAATTGCGGTAGCGGGAAAAAATTGGGGACAAGTAATATCGAGGGCGGAGAGAATGATAGAAGTCGCCTATAAGTGGGCAGAAGAGAACCATGTCAGATTCGAGGAGGATAAAATGGAGTGGATCAGGCTAGGAAAGGATAACGAAGAAGAAGAGGAAATAGAAATGCCAGGAGGAGGGAGGAAAAGCGAGAAACAGGAACTAAAATGGCTAGGCGTCTGGATAGATAACAAACTGACGTTTAAAAACCATGTAAGGGAAAAAACGGCTAGGGCATTCAGAGCTGCACAGAGTGTGATAAGCTTAGGGAAAGGAACAAGAGGAATGGGGGTTGGAAATGCGAGAAAGTTCTATATTGAATGTTCTAGGCAAATCGCGGAATATGGCGGAAAAGTGTGGTGGAAGGGACAAAAGGGTCTAGCAGCAAAAATCGACAAAGTCAATACACAAGCAATGAGAAGAATCGGAGGACACTTTAAATCAGCCCCCATAGCCGCGATAGAGGTGGAAAACGACATGATACCCACGGAACATAGATTCAACCACAAAGAACGAATGCAGGCAATAAAAGGACTAAAGCGCGCACCAAACCACCCCACCTACAAGGCGGTCAAAAATGAGATCAGCGAACTCATCGAAGAAGAAGATACATGGCGTGCAGGGAGAAGAAGGGGGCAAGGAAGAAAACGGGGAATGAAAGGAGCAGTTAAAAATCTTGCAAAAATAGTAGGAAAAGACTGGAAGAAAATTGAAAACTGGAAAAGCTACTACGAGAGGGAAAGAACATGGGAAAGAAAGGCGAGGGAAGAAATTGAGATAGATATCAGACCATATGATGAAAAAGGAATGGAGAAAAAGAGGCAGGAGGAAAAAAGAGAACAGGAAGGGGAGATTGTTATGTATAGCGATGGGAGCAAGACAAAAGAAGGCGTAGCAGCGGGGATATTCAGGATAGGAAACGATGGAGGAGTACTGAGGAAGATAGGCTACAGACTGGGGAAAAAGATGGAAATCATGGATGCGGAAATGGTGGGGATTAAGAAAGCCATCGAAGTCGGACTGAAAGAGGCAGCAAAGGAAAGGAAAAAGACGATTACGATCAGATGCGACAGCCAGGAGGCGATGAGACGAGTAAAACGTAGACATCAGGCATCCGGAGAAATGATGGCCCATAATATACGCTACTGGTATGATTCGGGAAAGACACAGAAGATCCGAATAAGATTAGAATGGGTCAAGGGATATAGCAAGATAAAAGGAAATTTGGAAGCAGACAAAGCAGCCAAGGAGGCCATCAATAAAGGAAGAATCGATAACGAATGGTTTGTTTCTTTTGCGTTCCTAGAGAGAGAATCCCGAGAGGAAACAATAAGAGAATGGGAGGCGGAATGGGAGCCAAGGGCGAACAAGGAAAAGGCGGTTTTCAAACCATCGCAGCGAAATACTATCAAATTCGACGATACGGACCGGACGGATAGAGTCATTATCAGCCGGCTTAGGACAGGCCATATAGCCATCAACAGATACCTAAAAAGAATAGGAAAGATCGAAAGCGCCGAATGCGAATGCGGCAAAGGGGAGCAAAGTGTGACCCATATACTTACCGAATGCGATGCAACGACCGAAACCCGCAAAACCTTTAAAGAGCATAATACGGTTGTTAAACTCCTTTGGAAGGCAAGCGGTATTGAAGCAGCTACAAAAATTTGGAAGCAATTTGTCAAATGGAGGTGTGAGAGGAGCGGACAAGACGAGAATGGAGAAGAAGAGAGAAGGGAACTAGGGTATGGATGGGGGACGCTGAAAGACGCGGGTAACGAGGAATAGAATGAGAAAAGAGCTCGGGGCGTTTTTTTTCCTATGTCAGATATATGTGAGAGAAGGCGGAGGAGAAGGGATAGTTCAGGGGTATTGCCATAACTGTAAAGTTGCATGCAATTAATGAATTAAACAAAAAACAAAAACCCCCTGTACGTACCTACCATGTTTACGCCCCTGTTTTTCCATTGATCATTCCGGTCGCTGTACCCCACACTTCATGCAGGTACCGCCAGGGTTGTGGATGAGAAGGTCTTGGCATATGTACGCATGTGTGATCACGGATCGGCCCGCGCAACGGTTACAAAACATACAGTAGTGGCTTGGCACCCAAGAAGCGAAACACTTATCCGACGTAGGCTAGAAAACAAACAGGTGAGAGTAGAAACTGCAATATATGCCTTTAGCCTCTTTCGAAATATGTCCCGCGTGGCCGAATCTCTAGTCAGAATTGTTAATAGGCAGTAGCTAGGTGCAATGTCTCGTCTCGGAGACTTGTAGATGCTTCTGACCGGTTTATGTGTTCCCGTCCATATGTCTTCTAAGGAATTGACGCTGATCCAATTATACCGGGTCGTACCAGGTCGCGTCTGGAAGTGCTGATATTTCGTTTGTGTTTTAACCACGGTGACGATGTGTCTGATTTGCCAGAGATACCCGAAACAGATCCAGCATCTAAGGGGCTACTACCCAGTGTTCCGAATCCACCCCAAAGTACGCTCTGGCCATGCATGGGGGCTTCTCTAAGTGCAGTATTTATTTACATACAGACTTTGGGACATGGGATTGGATTTGATGGTACACGACCGACCCCCTGGCTCCAGGCAGATTGTAGGGCCACAGGTAGCTCTCGTCTATACCGCTTAGATAGTTAAGTACGGCCCGCGCAAGAGATGTGGGGGCCGGTCCTTGCTCTGTCCGGCCGGGGGTGTTGGGCTGGTTATGTATATAGAGTTGAATATAGTGGTATCTCAAGCAGTTTTCCAGCCTGGTTGACAGATACCCACATCATGAGTTTACGTCGGGCGCAGAGGTAAGTGAGAAGACACCTGCTTGCGGAGGCTGGGTGATGGTGTCTTCTCACTTACAGTCACTCACGGGGTGAAGGCGACATCGGTTATGTATGGTAACCAATCATGTTTAAAGGAATGACTCATAAGAGGAACAGGGGGGTGAGCGCTAGGATTATGTAATATGGGGATCATGTGGTATTTGAACTTGTAATAGATAAGGAGCAACAAACTCCTTAGGTGTGGAAGAAGAATAAATTGAATTTGGTTTGAACACATGATGTTGTGGAGAAATATGTTCTTCGAAGTCGAGAAGATATACTATTGTGCCACTGGAGTTTGTTGTTCCTTATCGACTATTACAAGTTCAAATACCACATGATCCCCATGTTATATAATTCTAGCTCTCATCCCCCTGTTCCTCTCATGAGTCATGCCCTTATATAACGCCTGGTCGGCCAAGACCTGGTTCTCTGCAGCCTTGGCAAGCTTGGAACAAAAATTACTGTTTGTGGGAGTTGCTTGTTGAAATCTCAACTACATCATTACCCTATATGGCAAGGCTAGCACCGGGTTTGCACAATATGCAGAGCACAAGGCGATCCATGATTCGCAACCATGCATAACCGATGTCGCAATGCACTATTTCTACATTCAATACCAACAACAGCGTAACTAACAGCATAACTTGATGTACATACCCCCCCCCCCGGGTACTATAGTAGAGATACGGTTGACACCGCTCCTGGCCGCACCACCATGATAGACGTACGTATACTGGGGTATAGTTACTATAAGGAGTCCAGACTTGGAATATCCGTTAAGGTTTGGCTTTCCGGCGTTTCTAGCTGCGGTGTCGCTCGGACAGGCCAACCTGCGCTCGTGAGACGAGGCAAGATTGGGAAAAGCTTATCTTGTGTTGTGCGGGAATCTTCGCTCCAGGGGCGTATCCGGGTCCAACGCGGGGGGTTGGGGTCTGAAGGGTGGTGGTGTAGTCATGGGGTGTCACTCGATCGTGGTGTATCACCCGGTAGATACACCCACACCCCTTTTTTTTTTTTTTTTTTTTTTACACACCCGCGGCGCTTATGCTAAAATTGCTAGGTGCGAGCCCGGTAGTCAGATTGATGCTGGTTATGCTTACGCTGGTTTGTCGATAGCTAGAATGGTTGGTGTAGAACTCCTATGTAGCTATATACATAATTACAATAGGACCGTTATCTGTACATCCTCTGCTTGCATCCTAGAAAGGTAAGTAGTTAAGCAGGCTGGCGGGCTATATCTCCGCTGTGGCATTATATATTTTATTCTTAACAGGGACGATTTCGTGCGCTGTACAGCGGTAGGTAATAAGTGCGATGGAACGGGCTGAGACACGGTTATACCGGTCCTGTTTTGGGTAAAACGCCCACCGATATGCGGCGTTTGCAGGTGTTTATAGATGTAGCTCGGGGCGCTCGATCTGTCACATTACCAATCGCTAAACTGGTACTGCGCCGTGCTGCATTTTTTTATTGTCAGTGTTTCTGTCTGTTGTCTGTACCCTAGGGCTGGCCATGGGCATGGGTATGGATATGGGTATGTTGAATTCTCTATAGATCTAGACCTCATGCCACTGAGGACTGGGCTCCTGAGCTAGCAGAAGGAAGAATCGCCCACAATTTTATTTCTCGGTTATGTATAATCCCCACCAGAGGTCTGTACGTTACTCATCTCCTATCTAGCAAAAATCCCCACGCAGCGGATAGAAACATCGATTGTCGCGTGCACGTGGCGGAGGTGTTAATCTATCAATACATGTACATGTACGTACTACAACTGCCATCCCTCACCATCAGATATAAGGGAATAGATATCCTCCTCCTCCTCCTCCTCCACATCCTCCTCTACAACCCACCACTCGTCGTCGTCCAGCGATGCCTCCCAGTGCACTTCCCCCTCCTCCTGCACGGGCGGGGCCCCCATATCCGCCTGCGTCGGAAGAGGGGGCGCCTCTGGTATGACAGGACGTGACCTCTGGATATCGTCCTGCCCTGGAAATAGCCACATGTCATTGCTGATCGTGTTCTGTCTCTCAGCGACCGCTTTAACAAGGTCGGGTCGGGTCCTCTGTGGCCGCCGCTCTGCTATGGCAGGGCGCGACCACCCAATATCCTCCGGGAATGGGAATGGCAACATGTTAATTTCGATCTTGTGATGTTTCTCGGCGATCACCTTCTCCAGGGCGGATAGGGTCCTCTGTGGCCGCTCCGGCCCCGACTTTGGCGCATCACAATCGGGGGGGACGGCGACGGGGTTCAACTGCCCAGGCCTCACCCTACGGCGCGCTATCTCAGATAGAATGCAAAAAGACAGTTCCTCTCCTTCTTCTTCTTCTCCTTCTTTTACTCCTCCTTCTCCCTCCACCGCCGCTATGCGAGCCCTCCTCTGGGCCCGGACCCTCGCCCGACGCCGCTGCTGTCTAAGACTCGGGTTCTCTGTCCTGAGTTTCTCCAACAGCGCATCTAGCGCCCCATCCCCGCCGCCACCGGAGATCCCCATGTCCACCTCTTCACCCCGGCCACCCACGTCCTCACCCTTGAGAGGAATATAGCTACCCGTCAACGGCGAGCGCAAACGACCCATCCACGGCGAGCGCATAGAACCCCCCTGCCTCTCCCTCTGCGACACCGTCCAATCCCACACCTCCCTCCACCTGCACCCGCCCTCCAGCACCGCCGCCCCCTCCACACTCTTCGCAAACACCGTCCGCAGCCGAACCTTCCGGTACAGCACCGCATACACCACCTCCCCCACCGCCTTCATCCCCACCTCCCCCTCGCCGCCCCACCGCCCCCCCACCGCTGCCTCCGGCGGCACCAGCGCCGTCCCTGGCACAACCGCTAGCACACCCATACTCCCGCCGCCCGCGCGCTCGGAGGTCAGCGTGGCGTTGCACGCGCTGCGGATGCCGACAACGAGGTACACGCTGTCGCCGCGCTTCGCGGCGGCCTGCATCCACCGCTGCGTCTCGGGCTGCGCACACGCCTCGGCGAACCACACGTCGGAGTTCTGTAGGTCGCTGGTGGTGGTCTGTGGCGCGGCGAGGGTGGCGGCGCCGGTGGAGGTGGTGGTGAAGCGGAGGGAGAGGAGGTCGGCGAGGCCGACGTTGAGGCGGGAGCGCTTGGTGAAGGTGCGGGTTTCGCGGAAGTTGGTGTGGTGGGCGGTGTGCATTTCGGTGGTGCTGGGGCGTGGCGGGAGGGGGTCGTGGAAGTTTTGGTGTGGGCGGTGCGCGCTGGTGGTAAGGCGGCCGAGCTTGGTGGAGGTGATGGGGAGGAGGTAGGTGAGGAGGTGGGCGGTGGTCATGGTTGTTGTGGGGGGGGGGGGTTATCCCGCCCGGGGGAGAGGGGGAGCGGGGGAGCGGGGGAGCGGGGAAGCGGGGGAGCGGGGAAGGGGGGGGATTGGTGGAATGGCGCCTCCTTTGTAGTTGGACCGTGGATGTAGTACCGCCTCGACTAGTAGGTGCAGTCTGTATACGGACGGCGGTTAAGCGAGTTCTAATGTATTCCCGGTCGTTCGCTGGCTCGCTATATATCTCATCTATCGTATACGAGAGCGCTGACAAATCTGCAGCACCGCCCCCCTCCTCTGGTTGGTTGGGTGACAGAGAGTGGGAGGTGGGGGTCTTGGCACATTAGGTAACATGATGGAGGATATCACGGGCTGTCACTCGATCGAGTCTTGACCTTGGCCCAACAGAGGCTGTAATCGTCTGTGCTGTTCCTGCCCGGATATGCAGCCAGTGCTGTACCGCATCCTGGAAGGGCGTCAGGGTCACAGGCTCTCAGGATCGATCCAGGTGAATCGGGCAACCAAGGGAAGGGGTACTATCCCCTAGACCGTGGCGACCGCCTCCCAACGATTCCACAACCACCAGACTATCATTACTCACCGAATTAATAAGAATAAGGATCTATAGATGGCAATTGAGAATTCTGTGGCGTCTCGAAAATTTCTTCATCCTTGAATAGATATATAACATATGGGAAAAGTGAACTGTTGAGATGAAGTTTTTATTGACTGTGTTCTCAAGATATCAGTAATATTTTACTTCCCATGGAAGGTAGAGCACTAAGACCGAGAAACCTGAATGTCAACTATAATGTCTCTCTACCCACTGTCCTGAAAGATGTCCTGCCATCTATTAGACATTCTCAAAAGCCATCTTCACCCTCCATCAAAATACCTCCCACCCACTCACTCCCAGCCTCAATCTCTACCCCAATAAAACCAAAACTTAGTATAAGAGGGCAGAAACCCCGGCAGGCGGTACCAAGGAGAGCCACAAAGATATTCAGCAGAATCAGTCTCCTTCAGTCACTTCTAAACCCGCCGCTAAGTCAAAAAAAAAGCCACATCACGAAAAATCACTCGGCCTCGGCGCTCCAATTATCGCTCCCTGAACTCCCAGATTTCGAGCTCCTAGAACATTCAGTTCCTTTACAGCGAGAGGTAAAATTATTGTAGAAACAGGGGTCTAAAAACAGGGTTTCTGTGGCTGGGCAAGCCAATAGGACTCCTCCCATATTTCTACAATAATCTTACCGCAAGCTGTACACGAAGCATACAATACACTGCCACGGGCCCTACATTCTCTCAGCTCCCTTAAACTGTTTGATATCTTCAATCTGTACTTTTCTGATGATATCATTGACGTCATAGTGACGAACACCAACCAGTATGCAGAGAGGCAAATGGAAATCAATGGGAATGGAAATATTGCCCGGAAAAGTAGATGGCAACCTGTATCAGCCGGCGAGATCTGTATTTTGCTTGGAATCATTATTCATATGGGTTGTTTGGGACTGTCGACAGCATATTACTGGAGGAGGGACGGCCGGCTACTTTCTCGTGACGGTTTACCAACTGCGGCCTGTATGAGTCAAATGAGATTTGAAGAGATCCGGCGTTATTTCCACATCTCAGATCCCGAGCATGAGACAGAATCCTGGCATGGTAAAATTGACCCACTCGTAAACCACGTCCGTCGAGTATCTCGGCGGAACTGTATTCCGTCATCCAACGTTACGGTTGACGAAGCAATGATCCTATTTACTACTAGTAGAAGATCAATTCACATAACTAAGATGCCAAATAAGCTAATTAGAATGGGATACAAATTCTTTGCGCTTGCTGATACTAGTAAAGGATTTGTGTGGGATTTTCACCCAAGCTTCAATACCGATGGTCTCGATCCAGTATCAATGGAATCCGCAAATTTATCTTCAGAAAAATTCTCTAATACAACTAAAATGGTTCACAATCTTGTGCGATGCCTATATCTCAAGCACCGCAGTAAAGCCTGGAATGTGTACATGGATAATTATTTCACCACTGTACCTCTGGTGGCGGAGCTAAGGCGAATGGGAGTCGGTGGTTGCGGTACAGCAAAGGCGAATTTAAAGGGGTATCCGGACGAGTTCAAAGCAGTCACAAAGAAATCAAAACTTGAGTATCAATTCCAATCTGGAGTAGTTAAGGATGGTGTAGGCTGTCTGCTTTGGATTGATAGCGCACTAGCCAGTATGATGTCTACGATCCATTCCTTAAAAGATAGAGCTTCGAAATCTCGATGGCATCCTGGTGCAAAAAGTACAAATTCAGCAGCAGCAAACGAAATATATCACGGCCGGCAGCAGCAAATTCAGCTCCTCATACCCCTAATAATACTTGCATACAATATCTACAAAGTTGGAGTTGATGTAGCTGATCAGTACCGTACCTCCTATGATACAACAGTTGCATGCAATTATTGCTACCTAGTGTAGCGGTAAACATCTGAGGTATAATCGATGGTACTAGGGTTCGATCCTAGGTGCCATCTGAAATAACCATGAGACTCGGTGTTTTAGTTCGAATATATTATTGATAACCTCAGCGGGTGTGGGCCTTGTGTCTGCTATTGCCCACTTAATGGGGAAGAGGTCTGTCCGCTTACTGTACCTATTGGCATAGCCTAATAGGAGGTAAGAGTGTAAGGACCCGGTTGTTTATCTCGCGCTTACCAAGCTATTGTATACCCTGTATTGAGATAGTGAGGAGAGCGCCGCATAGTTTATAGTCCAAAAGAGATAGATTTGCCAACGCCGTTTTTTTTTATGGTCCACTACAGTACCCACCCCAAAAAGCCTTGAATCAATCCCAATACTCTGGCACAGGCTCGCAGGTCTAGTATTCTCCTGGCAGCTCTCAATCGACACCAATGAAGTACACCAGCTCCTATGTGCCCCTAGCAGTCTAGCAACAGCCCGGGAGTTCTAATCTGCTCCTGCTCTCCCTAAATCGAGAACAGCGTTCTACCATAACACTAGGAGCGCTGGGTCAGCCGCAGGAGGTGGCCATAGCTCTGGATCGACCCCAACAGGTTGCCATAACTGTGACATGCTACCAGGAGCTCTGACTCGACCCGGAGGTTTGCCATACCTCTGACCATCAGGAGCTCTGAGTCGATCCTAGAACTGTACCAAAGCTCTAGCATGCCACCAGGAGCTCTGGCGCGACCCCAGCAGGTTGCCATAACTGTGGCACCCCACCAGGAGCTCTGACTCGACCCCAGCAGGTTGCTATAGCTCTGACTCGACCCCAGCATGTTGTCATAGCTCTGACTCTACCCCAGCAGGTTGCCATAGCTCTAGCACGCCACCAGGAGCTCTGACCCCACCGGCTGACCAATATCAGATTATTAATGGACGTGCCCGGCATCCACAAAGCCAGGGCTTGATTGAACAAGCCAATAGTGTATTGAAGGACAAGCTTGCAGCATGGATACAAGACAACCAATCGATCAATTGGCAAACCGCGCTTTCCGGAAATCGTATTGGCAATGAACAGTCAAAAGCACGCTGTTACTAAACGTGCACCCTACGAAATTGTATTTGGTCAACTAATGCGATCCACACCTATTTTATTCTATGATCGTGCGAATACATCTATTATTGATGAAGACTCACAACAAATGAGTAAGTCAAAAATTGGAATATATTGTCTTACGTTTATATCTGACAGATAATGATACAGCTCATGATGGGCCCTCGAATATGGCCAGCCCTGGTGATGATTCACTATCTATCGATTCGAAATACTTCTATTATCCGCAAATTATAACAATCCTCAATACATACTTGAACAAAGTAGCAGGAACGACATTGACCAAATCGTTCGTATTGAAACATCCAAGTCACGTCAAGCTATGGTAGACCGAGAAGCATCCAAAATTAACTTGCCCGTGTTCAATATCGGTTCTCTGTTGACTTTGAAGATGCCTGCAGGGAATCGTCTCACAACATTCAGCAAAAGGTTGATATGCAAAATTGTTGACACTGCAGGAAAGGACAGTTTTATCCTTTGGAGCGAATTTGTAATTATTTCCCGCCATTGTAGTAGGCAGGAAATGGGGCTCTTACCTTCGACGGTTGCCTTTTTACCTGACGAAACACGATCAGACGAAAAAATTACTATTCTCATGGCTGCCAAATTAACTTATGAGCGAAAAACAGGCAAGGTATACGTTGGCTCTACTCTCTTCAATAGGTGATTCTATAGCTGACGTAACTAGACCTCTTTACCCTGCACTTGTAAGGGGTCATGCAGCTCTCAACGTTGCCCGTGTATTAGAAGGAAGGTATCTTGCAGCGAAAATTGTCACAACACTGGGAAAGGGAAGGAAAAACAGTGCAGTAATATTGCTGTGTCGGAGACGGGGACAGACTTAGGAGGGCCTGCGGGTTCGGTATCAGATAGTAGGTAAATTGAATGGAAAATGTTTCGGGTATGATACTAATAATACACAGGCTCTACCACGACAGGAAATGCATCAATTGATGCATTTCCCATACGAAAGCGACTTGCAAATGCATCAGTTGATGCATAAGCTTGTCGAGGCCTCAATAAATGCATCAGGCTACACATTTGCTGGCGACTTTACCTACACCTTTACCTACTGTCGACAATTTAACCTATACTTTTTCCTACTGTCGACAATTTTACCTACACCTTTCCCTACTGTCGACGATTTTACCTACACCTTTCCTTACAACTTTCCTGGGGAACATTGTCAATCAGTAGGAAAAGGTATAGGTACTACTAGTAAGTAATGATGCAGGGAAAATCGTCGACAGTATGTACTTAGTAGGGAAAGGTGCTGGTAAAATCATCGACAGTAGGGAAAGGTGTAGGTAAAATCGTCGACAGTACTTCAAAGTAGGGAAAGGTGCTGGTAAAATCGTCGACAGTATGTACTTAGTAGGGAAAGGTGTAGGCAAAATCGTCGACAGTAGGTAAAGGTGTAGTAGGGAAAATCGTCAGACCGCGAAAACTACTAGTACTAGTATTGTTCTTGGTATTTCCTGTCTCTACTGATTATTGATTTAGATATTTTTGGATCTCCAGTTCGTCTACATATACCTATTGAGTCAGCTTATACGTATTGCTTGTACTAGTAAGTGCTATATATTGAAAAGATATCATGGTACAGGTGGTAAGCTCCAAGTCTAAACTAGATAATCGGAAGGATTCAGGTTCAATCCCTCCACATTCGTTTGTTTTGCATCGGGGCAGGAGTGTTCTTCGGTATGGTGCATTTACTAATCTCTTTACCAATGCCTTTACTGATGCCTTTACTGATGCCTTTACTGATGATGTCTTCAAGTTTACTAGTACTGCTGCCTTTACTGATGCATTTCAACATGTGATTCAGAAATCCGGCACTGTTTGCATTTCTATTTTCCTGATATAAGTATTTCCCGGCGAACTCTTGGCAAAACGAGACTGTGATGCATTAAGGATGCATTAGTTGGTGCATTAATTGATGCATTATCCACATGTTTTAGGAACAAGGCTTGATAAATTGACTGACGACTTTCACTGATTGTAACGGCAATATTACCTGTTGGTTAAAATAATAGATTGGATCGTGAAGAGAAGGCATTGTGCAGTTGAACTAGGATTTGTAATGAGTTTTCTGTTATGTTTTTTTGGTTTCCGTTACGCGGAGTATGAGTCATCAATGAACTAGGAGCTGGATATATAAAGGGTTGTTGTCTCGTGCCTTTTCATGCTTTCCTTCCTCTTTCTCTTCTCTTCACGCAACTTCTTGTATCTACCCTCGCAACACCAAAACCTTCGAACAACAATAACTTTTGGCCTGCATTCTCGATAAAACTTTTACACGAACACGATCCTGTATGTCAGTAGACCGCGTAATCTATTGGTATCTTATCGCACATCTGTTCGTACGCGAAGTTATTCACGCTCTAGTCCATGAGTTGTGAACTCCCACCTCTTCAAACCCTCGCTTAAGCCTCGCGACCGCCGCGAAAAACAACAACCAATCTGGCCTCACCAGACCCACCCAACCCACCAAACTTTGCGGGCAGGAAGGGAACTCTATCAGAAGTCTTTCCCAACCCAATCCGATCCGGAACATCAGTGATGTCCCAACAAGCCTCTCTGAGCTCCTGGTTTGCAGGGGCCCCCCCACCAGGAACCCCGGCACCCCCGCGCTTCCCTGACACCCAATTGACACAACAAACACAGTCCACCACGGTAGAACAGACCCAACTCAGTAACGAACCGTTCTCCATCTTCACCGAACACACCCAATACAACGAACCATACGCTCCAAAATACGACTACATCCACCCCAGCATCGTTTCCGAAGAAACCCACGCCAGAATGGATCTGAACTACATCTCTTGGGTAGTTAGAAACGCCCTCACAGTAGCACTTGAACCCCTCAATCAAACGACCGAACAGATCAACAGGGACCTAAAAACAACCATCCAAGTTCTATCTACCCAAAACGATTCACTCAAACACACCGTCGATGTCCTGGCCAAAAAAATGTTTGAAATGACAAAGAATTAAGATAAAACATCCGAAAAACTCCATCGCCTCCAACACCAGCTCACCAACCTCTCTACCAACAGGCCTAACAACCAAGTAGCTGCCGAAGGAAGAGCTGCCGCCGCCGTTGCCGCTGCCGCCGCCACCATCACCGCCCCTCCCCCCGCCCCACCAATAACCCGAACCACGCCCAACAAGCGAAAGGAAAAGGCAAAGAGATACCAATCCCACCAGCACCCCAATCTTACGCATCCATCGCAGCAGGAAACGCCAACCCTGAATACACCATGGTCACAAACAGGAGGAAACCCAAGCCCAAAGCGGACCCACTCTTCAAATCAGAGGTCACCAAAATCAACAGGGAGATTGTCATCGAAACAAATAAGGAATCACCGGTCACCCCCTCCGACATCAGGACTAGAATCAACTCAAAAATCGAAAACCCAGACTGCCAGCTCATCGCCGCCAGGAAAACCTCAAAGAACAACATCGTGCTGGAAACTAAATTCGCCACCCCCGCCTCGAAAGTTTTCGAATATAAACAGGAAATAGAAGCAGCTCTGAAAGAACTCAAGGTCCCCTTCGTTGACATTAGGGTCAACTCCAAATTGTCTAAATTCATTGTACATGGAATCCCCACAACAATTGGGGATGGCTATAAAGCAGGATAAGTCATGGCCTTAGAAGTTAGAAGCAACTATGGAATCACATTCGAAATGGCACAAATCCCCAGATGGCTCAGCAGACCCGAGGCTAGAGCAGGAAAAACACACTCGTCAATGATTATCGCACTCCCAGGACAATACACAAAAGACAACCTGGGACTAAGATACCTTACCTTATTCGACCGACAATGCAAAATCGACAACTACCTCCCAGCCAACCCAGAAACCTAATGCTCCAAATGCTTGAAATATGGCCACCGACACGAGAGATGCTCCCACCAAACCGGGAGATTTGGACATTGTGCAGAAGACCACCAAACAAAGGAACACCCATGCTCTGAATGCTCAGGAGGCACCAGATGTATCCATACACCCATCCGATGCTATCACTGCAAGGCCCCCCACAAAGCAACGGATGCCAACTGCCCAGAACGAACCAAAGTCCGCATCACAAACAAACTCGGACCAGATACAAACCCAAGCCCGTTACCAATACCAATTGTCATCCCGGCCCAAGACCCCCCACAAGAAGATGCAGCCATGGATAACACCCAATGAGTCACACCAAAAGAACCACGGCTATCGCACAGCAACTGAACTGTGCGAGAAACGAGCTTACAACAAAGTCAGTAGTGGAGGAAGCAGAACAGGACCATAACATACTATTCCTTTTGTTACAAGAACCATGGAACAACAAAGACGGCCACCCACCGGAATCCCCTCTTTTCTACTTATTCACAGCCAGCAACAAGGGCACTAAAGCCGCCACACCTATCAGAAAGCACGCCAACCTAAAACCTAAACACCGTTATACCCACAACAACTTCATCGTCTTTGTCATGGTGGAAATCCAGAACCAAAAGACACGAATTCTCAACATATACTCACCAGGGCGAAGCGGACCCTTTGCAGAAATCTCTCGCCAGATAACAACCATCGAAAACTGCCTCGCCATGGGAGACTTTAATAGCCACCACCAACTCTGGTATGGACACAGATCCCACGACTACACCAACACAATGAGAGCAGACAAATCCGGATCCAGGAAGCTCAAAAGATGGATAGATCGACAAAAGCTATC